CTGACCAAGTGTTGTTACTTTGTAGTCGATCCATCATCCAAGATGGCCGCCAGCGGGGGACTTAATTTAACATAGGACCCTATGGGAAATACATACAAATGTCTTCTTTTAGAGAACCAGTGAATGGAATGAAACTAAACATGACATGAATGTTCCTTACCAGGTGCTGACCAAGTGTTGTTACTTTGCAGTCGGTCCATCATTCAAGGTGGCCGCCAGCGGGGGACTTAGTTTAAGGACCCTATGGGAAATACATACAAATGTCTTCTTTTAGAGAACCACTGAATGGAATGAAACAAAACATGGCATGCATGTTCCTTATGAGGTGTTGACCAATTGTTGTTACTTTGCAGCCGATCCATCATCCAAGGTGGCCGCTAGTGGGGGACTTAGTTTAACATAGGACCCTATGGTAAATACATACAAATGTCTTCTTTTAGAGAACCACTGAATGGAATGAAACCAAACATGGCATGAATGTTCCTTATGAGGTGCTGACCAAATGTTGTTACTTTGCAGTCAATCCATCATCCAAGATGACCGCCAGCGGCGGACTTAGTTTAACATAGGACCTTATGGGAAATACATACAAATGTCTTCTTTTAGAGAACCACTGAATGGAATGGAACCAAACATGGCATGAATGTTCCTTATGAGGTGCTGACCAAGTGTTGTTACTTTGCAGCCCATCCATCATCCAAGATGGCCGACAGCGGGGGACTTAGTTTAACAGAGGACCTTACGGGAAATACATACAAATGTCTTCTTTTAGAAAACCACTGAATGGAATGGAACCAAACATGGCATGAATGTTCCTTACGAGGTGCTGACCATGTGTTGTTACTTTGCAGTCGGTCCATCATCCAAGATGGCAGCCAGGGGGGACTTAGTTTAACATAGGACCCTATGGGAAATACATACAAATGTCTTCTTTTAGAGAACCACTGAATGGAATGGAACCAAACATGGCATGATTGTTCCTTATGAGGTGCTGACCAAGTGTTGTTACTTTGCAGTCGGTCCATCATCCAAGATGGCCGACAGCGGGGGGCTTAGTTTAACAGAGGACCTTATGTGAAATACATACAAATGTCTTCTTTTAGAAAACCACTGAATGGAATGAAACCAAACATGGCATGAATGTTTCTTACGAGGTGCTGAACTTGTGTTGTTACTTTGCAGTCGGTCCATCATCCAAGATGGCAGCCAGCTGGGGACTTAGTTTAACATAGGACCCTATGGGAAATACATACAATTGTCTTCTTTTAGAGAACCACTGAATGGAATGAAACAAAACATGGCATGAATGTTCCTTATGAGGTGCTGACCAAGTGTTGTTACTTTGCAGTCGGTCCATCATCCAAGGTGGCCGCCAACGGGGGACTTAGTTTAAGGACCCTATGGGAAATACATACAAATGTCTTCTTTTAGAGAACCACTGAATGGAATGAAACCAAACATAGCATGACTGTTCCTTATGAGGTGCCGATCAAATGTTGTTACTTTGCAGCCAATCCATCATCCAAGATGGCCGCCAGCAGGAGACTTAGTTTAACATAGGACCCTATGGAAAATACATACAAATGTCGTCATCTTTTAGAGAACCACTAAATGGAATGAAACCAAACATGCCATGAATGTTCCTTATGAGGTGCCGATCAAATGTTGTTACTTTGCAGCCGATCCATCATCCAAGATGGCCGCCAGCGGGGGACTTAGTTTAACATAGGACCCTATCGGAAATACATACAAATGTCTTCTTTTAGAGAACCACTGAATGGAATGGAACCAAACATGGCATGAATGTTCCTTATGAGGTGCTGACCAAATGTTGTTACTTTGCAGTCGGTCCATCATCCAAGATGGCCAGCAGCGGGGGACTTAGTTTAACATAGGACCCTATGGAAAATACATACAAATGTCTTCTTTTAGAAAACCACTGAATGGAATGGAACCAAACATGGCATGAATGTTCCTTATGAGGTGCTGACCAAGTGTTGTTACTTTGCAGTCAATCCATCATCCAAGATGGCAGCAAGCGGGGACTTAGTTTTACTTAGGACCCTATGGGAAATACATACAATTGTCTTCTTTTAGAGAACCACTGAATGGAATGAAACCAAATATGGCATGAATGTTCCTTATGAGGTGTTGACCAAGTGTTGTTTCTTTGCAGCCGATCCATCATCCAAGATGGCCGCCAGCGGGGTACTTAGTTTAACATAGGACCTTATGGGAAATACATACAAATGTCTTCTTTTAGAGAACCACTGAATGGCATGAAACCAAACATGGCATGAATGTTCCTTATGAGGTGCTGACCAAGTGTTGTTACTTTGCAGTCGGTCCATCATCCAAGATGGCCGACAGCAGGGGACTTAGTTTAACAGAGGACCTTATGGGGAATACATACAAATGTTTTCTTTTAATTAACCACTGAATGGAATGGAACCAAACATGGCATGAATGTTCCTTATGAGGTGCTGACCAAGTGTTGTTACTTTGCAGCCCATCCATCATCCAAGATGGCTGCCAGGGGGGGGGACTTAGTTTAACATAGGACCCTATCGGAAATACATACAAAAGTCTTCTTTTAGAGTACCACTGAATGGAATGAAACCAAACATGGCATGAATGTTCCTTATGAGGTGCTGACCAAGTGTTGCTACTTTGTTGCCAATTTACTGTTCAAGATGGCCACCAGGATATTTTATTAAATAACGGGACCAATATTAATCCAAATTTGGCCTCAATCATTATTTGGGTATCTGTTATGATTTTTATCTATCTTTACATGATTTGTAAAACCAAAGTAGAGTCAGGTGAGCGACACAGGCTCTTGAGAGCCTCTAGTTTTTTAAAATTAATCTCCAAACCTCTAAATAGTTAAATTCGGCAATCCTTCAATAATTATATTAAATCAGATGATAAATGAATAGGACACTTCAGTTAAGGATATCTAATTGTGTTGTCACAGTGATGTCAAAAACTCCTCGAAATTGACACATATTATCTGAACTTACTGATTTACACAAAAGGTTTGGTAAAATAAATTATGAGCCAAGGCTGTACATCAAAAGATATTTTACCAACATTGGAATCTTTGTAAGATACATCCTGTAGCAAAATATCTCAATTTTGTGTAAAGCCCATGCTCATAGTTATGTATTATTGCAAGATCCCAATGAGTTGGTTAAGGCTGATTCTACAGATTTGCGTGAATTGCACGAATTTGAAGCCATAATAAGACACATTTCAAACATATTAATTATGATATCTGCCAGACTGATTGATGTCTTGTGAACTTCTTAATGATGTCATTTGATAGTTTTATAGTACTTTTTGATTTCCAAATTCAAGAGGCAAAAAAAGGAACGTATCATACTTTCACCTTCAGACACCAATATGGAGAATATCCTGCAAAGGTTGGCATAATCAAACTAGAAGACTGCTTTCTTCTGGTATTTTGAAATGGATTTAAAACCATACTAAATATTGTTTTTATACACATATGCACTTTCAGAGTACTTCATTCTGTTGATACCTATGTTTTGGCATTGCACAAGGTCATGTTTTTCTCCGACAATTAATGACGTCTTTACACTAAATCCATTGGATGTTGGATGTGTACTGATAGATATTTTAGTCCAAGATACATGATTTTTTTTATTAGTTATTGGCTTTGAACTAGCTGTCAGTAACTGCGAGTACTCACAGATCTATATTTTGTGTTTTTTGTTGTTGTTATGGATGTATATATACCCTGCCATGTGCTTTTGTTAGATGTTTCTCTGCTTTGTATCGATCTGATTAGTTAACCCCTTTGGCCGCATGTGTCATATCTTCGTCAATTAACTCGATAATATTTAAAAATTTCAGATTCGAATATTATTGTCATTAATTACTTATTGCATTAAAACAACAATTACCGCGTTAAAAGAAGGTTTAACTAGTTAAAATAAGGTAATTTTTTATTATTAATATATCATTTTAAAAGTAGTTTCAACGTGTTAAAAATAAATTTATCGCCTTAAAGATAAATTTAACGTGTTAAAAGCAACGTTAACGCGCTAAAAGCAAGTAACAAGTTAAAAGCAACTTTAACACGTTAAAAGCAATGTTAATGTGTTAAAAACAACTAACATGCGTTAAAAGCAACCCTTATGCGCTAAAAGTAGAGTCAACGGGATCAAATGTAGATTGAATGCCGTAGTAGTTAAAAATGACTTATAGGTTTATCTAGTTAAGCAAAGTTTTAACGCGTTAAGTGATGTTTTAACTCATTAAAATAATGTAAAGTAATAGTGTTGAATTAAACGCGTTAAATGTGATTTATAATTACATATGTGGCAAGTGCGACAGGTATTTTATTGCGATAAATGTCTTTTTTCACTTATGAGTTAGATCTCAAACTTAATCAATGCAAAGTTTAATGCGTTAAATATATTGATTTCTTAACAAGTTAAAACTGTATCTTCACGTTAAATGTTAACGTGTTACTTTATTGGGTTTTTGTCATGAACGGCCTTTTATACCACTGTCCCAGGTTAGGGGAAGGTTGAGGGCTCACAAACAAGTTTAACCATGCTACATTCTTTAAGTGCTTGTCCCAATTCAGGAATAGTTCAATGGTTGTCATTGGTTCATATCTGTCATATTTGTTTTTTCGTAAATTGTTTTGTTATAAATTAGGCTACTAGTTTTCTCAATTGAATTGTTTCATATTTTCTAAAGGGGGGGGGGGGGGGCAGCATTTATAGCCGACTATATGGTATGTGTTTTTCTCATTGTTGAAGGCCATATGGTTGCCTATAATTGCTTACATCCACTTCATATGAACTTTGGTGGATAGTTGTCTCATTGGCAATCATACCACATCTCTTTATTTTTAAATTGATCAGAAAACAGCATTTGGTGCAGACAAGGTTTCCAGAAAAAGCAACACATACCATTATCTAGATCCCCAACACTCATCACAGGCCAGACATAAACAGAATAAACTATTTTCTAATATTTTATTTAAGTCAGTCATACATACAAGAGTGCACACGCTGAAATGTCTCGCCTTCTTTATTAATCATTGATATTATGTTGATAGTCCTAAATATAAAGCTTTATAACAACTGTCACATAAACTTAACATTAACCAAAAAACTAAACATTCACCAATGAACCATGAAAATGAGGTCAAGGTCAGATGAACCATGCCAGGCAGACATGTACAGCTAACAATTCTTCCATACAACAAATATAGTTGACCTATTGCTTATAGTTTAAGAAAAACAAACCATAACACAAAAACTTAACACTGAGCAATGAACCGTGAAAATGAGGTCAAGGTCAAATTAAACCTGTGCGACAGACATATAGATCATAAAATATTTCCATATACCAAATATAGTTGACCTATTGCATATAGTATTAGAAAAAAAGACCAAAACTCAAAAAATTAACTTTGACCACTGAACCATGAAAATGAGGTCAAGGTCAGATGAAACCTGCCAGCTAGACATGTACACCTTACAATCATTCCATACACCAAATATAGTAGACCTATTGCATACAGTATAAGAAAAACAGACCAAAACACAAAAACTTAACTATAACCACTGAACCATGAAAATGAGGTCAAGGTCAGATGACACCTGCCAGTTGGACATGTACACCTTACAGTCCTTCCATACACCGAATATACTAGACCTATTGCTTATACTATCTGAAATATGGACCACCAACACTTAACCTTGTTCACTGACCCATGAAATGAGGTCTAGGTCAAGTGAAAACTTTCCAACGGGCATGAGGACCTTGTATGGTACGCACATACCAAATATAGTTATCCTATTACTTATAATAAGAGAGAATTTAACGTTACAAAAAATCTTAACTTTTTTTTCAAGTAGTCACTGAACCATGAAAATGAGGTCAAGGACATTGGACATGTGACTGACGGAAACTTCGTAATATGAGGCATCTATATACAAAGTATGAAGCATCCAGGTCTTCCACCTTCTAAAATATAAAGCTTTTAAAAAGTTAGCTAACGCCGCCGCCGGATCACTATCCCTATGTCGAGCTTTCTGCGACAAAAGTCGCAGGCTCGACAAAAAATTAAAAATAGTATCAAACAGATGTATAACATGTGTAAATATTTAAACAATATGCGTAGATAATTTAATAATATATTAGATAATTAATTATAAAATATGCTTCAATACATGTAGTAAGTATCTTAATATACATAATGTCAGAAGTCTATTAATTACTAGTAACAGATTTTTGGTAATGTAGAGAATACAGAAGTGTACATTTGTAACTGAAACTGAAAGTACTCTAGCACCTTTCTTAAACAAAAGTTGAAAAATGGTTTGATTCAATGTAGTCTGAGATTAATGATTTTCCAAAATATTGGAAGGAGTTATTATACAAAGCAGAAAGAAAAAAAAAAATTTCAATAGTTCAATATAGCCTTCCTTGCTGGTTGTTCAAGTTTATTTTCTCTCTTTGAGCTTTGAAAGAAAACATTGCAAATTCAGGATTATTTGCAATGATTTTATTATTCTCCGAAGCTTTTACGTGTTAGTAAATTCAATACAAAGTTCAATACGCAAACATTAAATCTGATAAAACATTTGTAAAATATGCAGTGCCTCAAAGTTTAATTTTAAGTCCTCTATAAAATGTTTTAATTCAAATGATGTCTGATTCTTATGAATATAGAAGACTTTTCAAAAGAAAAATTGTATGAAAGCTTAGTTTGGACATTTTTATAGCAATTCAAAATTACTACCCATCACCTTTAGCATGACAATAACAATAAAATTTCTATACAAATTGTTAGACTGATTTTTCATAATTACATTGAAGTGGAATTAAAGTCTTATAGGATTGTAAGTATGCTTTATTTTATCACCTTGCACTTTCATGACTTGACTGTGGTTTTCCACAGCAGTTTGTTCAAATTTCTGACCAGTTGAACAGTTTGGTTTTATAAAACAAATTGCAATTTGGTCAGAATTTTGAATAAGTTGCAATAGGTGAAGAGCAACACTTACAGTCAAGTCACAGTAATAGCCATTAAAGTTTGTATTACATTAAAAAGGTCTGCTAGCAAAAGCATATTCTGTGAACCTGTACAATAAAAGAAGTATGTTTTGTGTCCAAAATAGTAGTTTTAAAGTATATCAATATCTTTTCAAATTTGTCATCTAAAGAGAAAATAAATGTATAATATTTTTAAATTTTATAATTATTTGTATTCATGTTTTATTTCCATCATCTGAATATCAAATATATGTTTTGTAGTGGCAAAAAATATGAAATCAACTTATTTTACCATTAATTGATAATCTTACCATGAAATTGTAGAGATATAATATACTTAACATAAAAAGAAATATGTTCATACAAATCATAGAAAGATGTATCATGCCACAGTTTGTTTGTTTTGAGTAAGGTCTGTGAACTATGTTATTTTAATCAAAATGTGATTGAAAACTGCTTTTTTCTTAAAAGTTCTGATGGTTTGAAAATGGTTGACCAGAATAATGAAGGCATCATACTGGGTAGTCAAGTTCAACATAATCATAAACAATCAACAAAAAACATGGTCTTGAAATGTGTGTGTGTGCATGGTTTACAATTTAATTAACAAAATATAATATAAAATGTAACTTCCTTCTAAAATTTATTTCAAAATATAATATATAAAAAGTAACTTCCCCTTAAGAAAAATCAGTTTACACTTTTGTTTTAAGAATCATCTTAGATTGAAGATCAGTACCTAAAAATAAAAAAAATTTTGGTTGGCATATCTAATAAACAAGAGTGCACACACTGAAATATCTTGCCTGCCTTACTAATCATGATTGAATTTCATACCAAACATCGAATATAGTGAGACTATAACCGGTACTTATAGTATCTGAGAAACAGACCTAATTACGAAAATTGAACATTGAACCATAAAAATGAGGTTACAGTCAGATGAACTCTGCTAGACAAAATGAACACTGTGCAATCATTCAATACACTGAATACAGTTGACCTATTGCTTATAATATCTAGGAAACAGAAATAACCATGAAAACTTAACATTGACTAATGAACCATGAAAATGATGTCAATGTCGAAAGAACTCTACCACACAGACATGTTCACCTTACAATTATTCCATACACCAATTATAGTTGACCTATTGCTTATAGTGTCTGATTAACATAAACTATGAACACTCAACTTTGACCAATGAATCATGAAAATGAGATAAAGGTCAGATTAAATATGCCAGATCTGCCATGTTTACCTTACAATTATTCCATTCACCAAATATAATGGCCATATTGCTTATAGTATCTCATAAATAGACCAAGGAGGTTATATGAGAAGGAGAGAGGACGAAAGACGCTAATTACACATGAAATGTTACCGCCTTTTTTATAAGTGGATGCTAATTAGTTAAGATCGATTCGGTAGCAGAGGGAGACTTTGTCCTAATTACACATCCGAGTAAGAACGGAAACACCCGGAGTGTTATAAACTGACCGTGATTTTACAAAATAAGGCTGAGATCATGTATACTAACAAGATATGAAGGTTTGGCAAGGATCCTAGACTATCAAAAAATACACACCAGATGTTTTCTGTTGACGTATTTCAGTCATCATTTGATCATGGTCGACGATGTATTTACACAAAATGTATAAGCGATGCCTAAGTGTTGGAGCTCGAAAAAGAATTTGACCCAGAAAGATTCTGCCTCTGCAGGACGAACGACTCAGTAGACCTGAGTTGCTTTTACCGTTCTATCTACAGCCCAATGCAATGAGAAACAAACTTTTCGCTGGCTCTCGATAAATTTCTCTTCGTTTCAATTACAAATATTCGCTCCAGTCGCAGCCGGTCACCATAAGGAAAGCGCCTCACATATTCCTCTATTTTCTATGATATTACCTACTAGTTATCATGGGCAGCATCATACAGGTGAAGCGAAAATCTTTGTTTGAAGCAAGGTGGGGTTCAATAGAAATTGCATTCTTAAATTTCTTTCTTTACACCCTCATAACTTTGTCATTTCTTAGCCGATTTTCACCGTAGTTAGACGATATACTTTCGAATTTCGCGTCAACTGATATTGCACAATAAAACACATTAAAACTTATTAGTAACAATAAGTACACCTGTATTTTGATGACCCACTCACCGATTACAATCACGTGACATTAGCGATCCTCCTAATCACACGGACTGTTTGCGGTAACAGCCTGGTACATCAGAGGACCATATCAAGTGGGTGATAAACATGTCGGTTTCTTTATATTTTTATCATTTTCCTCTGATCGAATTGCTATCCTGAGGATGCTAATTTTATCTCAAGCAGAGTGTTCACTCTCCTTCTCATATAACCTCCTTGAATAGACCAAACTGGAAACACTTAATGTTGTCCAATGAAACATTAAAAGGTCAAGGTCAGATGAAACCGGCCAGACAGACATGTACACCTTACAATCATTCCTTTAACCAAATACAGCTGATCTATTGCTTTTAGTATCTGTGAAACAGACCAAACACCAAAAGCTTATCATTGACCAATGAACCATAAAAATGAGATCAAGGTCAAATAAAACCTGACAGTCTGACCTAACAATCATTTCACACTTCAAATATAGCTGACCTATTGCTTATAATATCTGAGATACAAACTTCAACCATGAAAACTTAACCTAGACCACTGATCCATGAAATTAGTTCTAGGTCAGATAAACCCTGTATGACAGACATATAGACCTTGCAAAGATCCTGAATACAAAATAAAGTTATTCTATTACTCATTATAAGTGAGTATTTTACAGGACTAAAAAAACAATAAATTTTTTTCAAGTAGTTGCTGAACCATGAAAATGAGGTCAAGGACAATAGACATATGACAGACGGAAACTTTGTAACATAAGGCATCTGCATACAAGGTCAGTCTGCACCAAAATCTTTTCCAATTACTAGTCTGAAGACCAATATTCCGACATTTTTCTTATGTGTCTAAACAAACTTTTGCAAATACTTACTAGCCCGAATAAAATTTTACTAGTCTGGGGCATCTAGTGGCTAACTGTGCAGACTGTTAGGTATGAAGTATCCAGGTCTTCTACCTTCTGAAATGTAAAGCTTTATACAAATAGTTTATGCAATCGCTGCTGTGGCTGAATTGTAATTCCTATGTCTTGCATTCTGTGACAAAATACAGACGGGGCCAAAAAAAAACTATGAAATATTTCAATGACTTTGTACTGTCCCATCTAAACAGGTCAAAGTCAGATGAATGTGATGCCTGTCAGATAGACATGTTTACCTAACAATTACTCTATACCAACTTCAGACCATGAGGTATATGTTTACAAGATATAAATTATCAAGCTATTCTACCTTTCGAAATTTAAAGGTTTATACAAATAGTTTATGCTGTGGCTGCTGGTGGAATAGGATCCCTATGTCTATAAGTTCAAGGACATTCTTTGCAGGCAAGACAAAACCAAATATTACACATAGAACTAAATCAAGATTTCATCTCTGAAAGTTTACTAAGTACTTCTGTCGCTAATGGACGATTAACAATACTGAGATCCCAACATTTCTTCATCAGAAATTGCAATTTGTTATGAGGTCTATATTTAGTCTCCAACTCTGGTCTAGTACCATTGATTACATATTTACTCAATTCATTTAAATTTTTAGCTATAAACTGATATCCATCTGACTCTACACCAACTGGGTGCGTATAACCTGGACGTGCATACCACATTTCCCATAAAATTATCCCTAAACTAAATATGTCAGCTTCTATCCCATACATTTTTCCCTGAAGGACCTCAGGTGCCATTGTAGTTGGTGTCCCAGTGACTGTTCCCAAGATGTCCTCTGCCTCTTTAGCTAAACCAATATCTGCAATCTTTGCTTCACCATCTTTCACCTGGGAAAAAAAAAACAGTCACTTTGAAATTTCAGTTTTAGGATGTTGATGTGAATAATGGAATATACACTCCCATCAAACACAATCAGTAAAACAACTCATCAACCAAACAGATAACTTGCGTTTCCAAAAATATTCTACATTTTTTGAAAGATGGTTTTAGCTGACATGTCATAGAAGTTCCATGCAATTTTGCAGTTTTATTTAATTTGACAGTTGCCGTTTTTATACAATTTGTATTTTCATTTGAATTGTTTCACATTTTATCATGTCTAGATCTTTTAAAGCTGGCTTCTAGGTGTGGGTTAAACTCATTGTTGAAGCCATAGTGTGACTTATGATTGTTTTTATTTGGACTCTATTAGATAGTTGTCTCATTGGCAATCATACCACATCTCCTTATTTTTATATTGAAACATATATAGCATATAAAGTAAATGTTTTAGATTTACCAAGATACCAAATAAAAGATTTGAACCTTACCAAAATATTAGCTAGCTTGAGATCTCTATGGACAAATCCCATGTAATGGACATGAATTAATCCGTTACATACACCACACATCATCTTTAGATAAAACTCCCATGATGCTTTACACAATGACACGTCCTTGAACTTGAAGCATGGTGGTGGATCTCTTTTCCTGTATACAATGTTTTCTAAGCTGCCATCACAGTATTCCATATAAATCTGAAGAAACTTTTTACTTTGACTCCCAAGTCTGTATGACACACCAAATAATTCAACTATGTTTGGATGATTAAGTTTTCTGTGAATTACAAGATGAAATTTCTCATCAATTCATTAACCCATAATATTTAAAGGACACAATAATATGGTTTAGACACTTGTTTATATCTTGATATGAATTAAAAGATAAGGGGGGGTATACATGTACATTAATGAGACAGCAACCCAACTATATAAAAACAATGGACAACAAACATTCTCAAAAACAGACAGGTGTTTAACAAAATGTCAATCTCTAAATCAGTATGGGTTTATAAAAGTTTTGAATAAAAGAGAAGGTATGGTAAGGGCTAAATTCGGCCTAAAATTTGAAGTTCATCTGATGAAACATTTTTGACATTTTTCAAACACTTAAGTGTCTACTTCAGTCGATTCAATTAGTTCATGTTAAAAATTTGAACTAATTTGGTCATTTAAGACTCTCAAACTCGGTCTACTACTTTTATAGAGACTATCAAAGATCTGCCATCAACACCAGTTCCTTACTTGACATATTGTAATTTAATAGTCTTAAAAATGGACTAAAGAATAGTGGAAGACATGAAAAACATGATGAAACATTACCTAGTATATTTAATAAATCGTTTAATGATAAAGAAATTACATCATAATCACCTCCAAAATAAAAATCACCATACTCATAAAAAAGCTGTCACATCAAAATCATTCAAATATGGTTCTAGCATGCAATAATAAGTTAAATTCAACAAAATATTCCCATAACACCTGTAAAATTCATCAAATCAAAATGTTTATACAGTATGGCCAACAACTCATGATGACTAGCAATCCTAGTGATTATAAAAGCTGTTGGACAAAAGGTCTGCAACTGTCAATCCACTACAGTATGTTAAACATGCTCAATATTCTTGCAAAAATTTAAAAAATCAAAATAGAGGTATTGCATGGTTCACTTAATATGATAAAATCAGTCATACCCAGAATAAAAGTTTGGGAAAACAGTCTCAAAGAAGAAGTCTTCACAAATTGCCATGCTACATTATAGGTAAAAATGGTCAAATTCCCAAAACTTTTGAAATTAAATGCTCTGCATGGCGCAGGTTGATACAACAGCAGAGGTCAAACACTGACAGTTGGGGCAAGTATGGACACAACATTCAAGCTTGATACAGCTCTGAATTTGGATTGTGATTAAATATTTGATACAGCATAGGTTTCTGGCACAGAAAGAATGTGGTCTAAGAACTTAAAAATGTTGAAATTGAACATTTACCTATTACGGTCCAATATCAATAAATTTATATACATGCTTAGATTCAGCATATCAAAAAAACCAAAGAATTCAATTTTTGATGAAATCAAACAAAGTTTAATTTTGGACTCTTTGGACCTTCATGAATGTCATGTGGACCAATTTGATAAAGGTGGCCTAAATCCAATATCAAAATACACGGTTAGATTCAGCATATCAATTAACCCCATATGTTCAATTTTTGTTAAAATCAAACAAAGTTTGATTTTGGACCACAATTTTGACCAACTTAAAAACTGGGCCCAAAACAAAAAATCTAGATACGTGTTTAGATTCAGCATATCAAAGAACCCCAAAGAATTCAATTTTTCTTAAAATCAAACTTAGTTCAATTTTGGACCTTTTGGACCTAAAGTTGACCAATTTGAAAACCAGGCCCCCCCCCAAAAAAATCAAATACAGTTAGATTCAGCATATCAAAGAACCCCAAGAATTTATTTTTTGTTGAAATCAAACAAAGTTTAATTTTGGACCCTTTGGACCTTAGTGCCAAGTTGCATTATTTGTAGATCTTGTCTTGTTGATCTTTTTTGCCTATTTAATGGTAAAATTTTGACATCTAAGGACAGTAACTCCTATAAGAATTATTCTGACAATTTTAATGTAAGTAGACAGTAGGTAGATCTAAAAATTCTCAACATTTTTTCCATGTCAGATTTTCTCTTTCTATAGCAGTTTCAAGAAAATAGACATAACTTGAATTTTATCCCTATATTCTATTTTTTTGCCATGTTGGCCATGTTATTTGGCAGGTGGGGTCATCAGATACATTTTTTTTAAACTGGACACCCAAATGATGACTATGGCCAAGTTTGGTTAAATCTGGCTCATTATTTTTAGATGAGAAGATTTTTGTAAAAGTTAGTAGATGATGGATGGAGAAAAACTCACACTGAGCTGAAAAGGTTTCAACAAAATGATGATATACAATGTAGTATGGTTAACTACACATCATGAATACTGGCAATTTCACTCTGCATGAAAGCTTTCAGACATATGATCTCAGAGGAAAAGTCTTCTCAAGTTCTCATTATGCTACAATATGCCAAAAATGTCAAAGTCCCTTAACTACATCAAATTATTATGAAGACTAAACATGAATTTAAGCTTTCAGGTAAACAGGTGTTAGATAAATGGTGTTCACATATTTTAACATTTTTATCCCTCTGCAATGGCAAGGAACATTGAAAACTGTTGGACAAAAGGACTGAGACTGTCATGATGCAACAATAAGACAAAATGGTCAATATCATATATCTCCCTAGAAAATCAAAATGGCAGTACATTATGATCAACAACACATGACAAGCATTGAAAAGGTACTCTTGTGGAGAGTTGTCTCGTTGGCAATTATACCACATCTTCTTATTTTTATATACAAAATGCTGTAAATAGGCAATAAATAGTCAAAGTCCCATAACTCCTGCAAAAATTGTCACATCAAAATGATGGTATTGATTTTTTTGCAGTCTTAGACATATACATTTGAGTGCAGTATAAATTTCCATTTTTTGGCATGTCATTATTTTTCATCAGTGATTATCTTTTTCAGTCTTGCTTCCAATGGCTTAACAGATTTCTTTTAATATATCTTCATGCATCTGATTAAAACAGATCATTAGATTTGTGTGTTGCTCCTGTAAGATCTAAAAACATTCCAAAGTGAGCTTTTAGCATCCAATCAAATCTTATAAAATATAAACTAGAGGCTCTAAAGAGCCTGTGTCGCTCACCTTGGTCTATGTGCATATTAAGCAAAGGACACAGATGGATTCATGACAAAATTGTGTTTTGGTGATGGTGATGTGTTTGTAGATCTTACTTTACTGAACATTCTTGCTGCTTACAATTATCTCTATCTATAATGAACTTGGCCCAGTAGTTACAGTGGAAGATATTTTGTAAAAATTTACAAAAATTTACCAAATTTATGAAAATTGTAAAAAATTGACTATAAAGGGCAATAACTCCTTAAGGGGTCAATTGACCATTTTGGTCATGTTGATTGATTTGTAGATCTTACTTTGCTGAACATTATTGCTGTTTACAGTTTATCTCTATCTATAATAATATTCAAGATAATAACCAAAAACGGCAAAATTTCCTTAAAATAACAAATTCAGGGGCAGCAACCCATCAACGGGTCGTCTGATTCATCTGAAAATTTCAGGGCTGATAGATCTTGACCTGATTAACAATTTTACCCCCGTCAGATTTGCTCTAAATGCTTTGGTTTCAGAGATATAAGCCAAAATCTACATTTTACCCCTATGTTCTATTTTTAGCCATGGCAGCCATCTTGGTAGGTTGGCGGGGTCATCGGACACATTTTTTAAACTAGATACTTGAATGATGATTGTGTTTAAGTTTGGGTGCATTTGGCCCAGTAGTTTCAGAGGAGAAGATTTTTGTAAAAGTTTACGGACGACGGACGCCAAGTGATGAGAAAAGCTCACTTGACCTTTCAGGTCAGGTGAGCTAAAAATTGTTGTTGGATAAATTGTGAAATATTTCTGAATAAACTTCTGACATTAGTCCAATTTTATGCATCAACCTAGTTATAAACATTTCTCAACTCAGCACAGCAGTAAAGTGTCATTGTTTTATTCATATTTCATGCAATTTAAACTGCATATAAGTCAATAAAATATCAATATAACAGGGCTGGAAATTTTTTAAATGATAGAATAATATCAATATTTTAATTTCCATCTGGTCGTAAAAACTTTCTTCGGTCACAAATTTTTGTAATTTTGCTTGTTTATGGGGTACCCCTCAAATAATGGTTTTGGCAGTCACCTTAAAATTAAAAAAAAATAAATGTTTTATTCAGTTTCAGGCTCTGTTTGTAAATACTTTCGATGCACATATCATCAAGGGTCATCAAAATGCTGAAGACATGAACAAAATACCATTCCTGAATAAAATTTGATAACTTAAAGTTGGCAGGTTTTTATCTTGAAATTTAACACATTTTTCTTTGAAAACAAGAAGACGTATGATTCAAAAATAGTATTTCATATTTGAGTGGAAAGAATATACTATTGAGATACTGTATGTAAATTTCAATGGACAAAATTTGAAAAGTTTTGTTAAAAATCAAGAAATAAAAACATACCTTTTTTTAACTTCAGAAATTTCATATCTTTCAATCATCTTTATTATTCAAAGTAATTATTTATCAAGTTCAATTATTAGGACTTAAATTTGATAGTTTCGATGTGATTTTGTAAATAATCTGGTTTTTTAAGTGTGTTTTGATCACATAATGTTGTTCTTTTTGTGTAAATAAGTTATATATTTGTTGCTTAAATTTTGACATTTTAGAATAGTTAACCGAATCCTTTGGATAAGAATTTTTTCTGGATAATGGCTACTTTTTCCTCATGTTTGAATTTATGATATATTTGAGGTTTGACCTTTGATCTCAATTTCACAAAAATGTGACCACTCTGATATTCAATATAGTTGTGTGTTCTTCCAGTACGTTAAAGTTTTAAGCTAGAGGCTCTAAAGAGCCTGTGTCGCACATCTGCATCTCCAACAATGGCCATTTTTTTAGTAAAAATCAGCATTAAAGGAGAACAACTCAGAGTTAACTGAAAATTTCAGTAATGGGTGCAATCAAGTTTTTTTCTATATCTTAATATTTTGAGGGACCATGCATAAGTGACCCTTAGTGGTGGTATTGTTAATAAAGATACTTGTATAAAACTAGATATCACTGGAATCAGAATTATCTCTAGTTTATAATGAAATAAAAAAAAAGTGTCATTTTAACATATTAAAAAAGTTTTACTCAGAGAAAATGAAAAAAAAGCCCAATCTCAGCATGGAAAAATCTTAAATCAGGTCATGTGCATACCCATGTAGGCATGATACAGGCACATTTCAGATGATCAAAAGTATATGAATTTCAAAGATTTTTACCTGGTCTTTCAAAAAATTCTCGCTTCAGGGTATGTTCACCTGCTCCAGAAAGAGCTACAGTAGCTACAAATAAGTTTTCAATTTTCACTACTAAAAAAGCAAGAAGTTTACAGTGTTGTCTCCCCTTAAAACAAGTATATTTAATCTGAATTTTTAAATTATTGTGATCTTCAACCTGTTTAATTTGAAAGTTAACTAACTATTTTTTATCATCAGATACAAAAAACATATTCTTTTTCACCAATTATGTAAATAAAAGGGATTTCCCTCCATGTCTATTTTTAGTCGAGGAATAACCACTAGTATTTTATACGAAATTGTTTACAGCACCCAGTACTGACATATTTGTAGATCTTATCTTGCTGATAATTCTTCCTTTTCAAAGTTTCTATTTACCTATTATAGTTTTCAAGATAAATATGCAAAAAATGCAAAATAATTGTAAAAAACTATCATTAAAGGGCAATAACTCCAAAACAAGTCTACTGAAGATTTAGGTCATTTTGACACATTTGTAGATCTTCGTCTTGCTGATCAATTGTGCTATTTTTAGTTTCTATCTATCAATAACAATTTTTAATATAATAGGCAATAATGGGGAAAATCGTCATTAAAGGGCAATAACTTCAATAAGGTATCGACTAACGATTTTGGTCATGTCGATTTATTTGCAGACCTTGTCTTGTTGATCATTTTTGCTTGTATTGTTTCTATCTATCTATTATAGTTTTTAAGATATCAGGCAAAAATGCCAAAAATTGGTAAACATTATCATTATAGGCCAATAACTTTAATAAGAAATGTCTGACGATTTTGCATGTTTGACTTATTTGTAGATCTTGTCTTGCTGATCATTTTTGCTTTTTAAAGTTTCTGTCTCATCTATTATAATTTTCGAGATAATAGCAAAAAAAGTTTAAAAAATTCATCATTTAAGGACAACAACTCCTATTAGAAGTGGTCTGACTTTTTCGATGCAATAGACAAAAGGTAGAGCTCAACATTCTGAACATTTTTGACCCGTCAGAATTTCTCTATTTATAGCGGTTTTCAAAATAATAGGCAAAACTTGCATCTTACCCTTATGTTGTATTTTTAGCAATGTCAACCATCTTGGTTGGCAGGCCGGGTCATGGGACACATTTTTTAAACTAGATACCCTAATGATGATTGTGGCCAAGTTTGGTTAAAGTTAGCCTAGTAGTTTCAGAGGAGAAGATTTTTGTAAAAGTTAACGACAACGGCCAGGTGAACTAAAAATGAAATCTGGTTGCAGTACTAAAAGGCCAGCGTGTCACTTAAAATGAATGGTTGATTAGAAATTTGCATGGGCATCTTAACATGACCCCATAGGATAAATTACTGATCTTACATGAGTGACAAACAAATCTAACAGAGCAAAGTAAAAATCTGATCTTCATCAGTTTGACATTTAGACATATTTCTCATATTTTCTCTATAATATTCACCTTAGATTTTGCACTTCACTTAATTGTACATAGGAATCTGTCCTCTCCAAAGGTTTTCTCAGTGTCTTCACAGCAGCTTTAACCCACTGATCCTTGATAAGAACTTCAGTTGCATGTACATCTGAAAATTGTCCTTTACCAATTTCTTCTCTGGTATCTCTTATATTTTTCTTTGGTAATTTATAACCTGAGAAATAATCCATGTTAATCAGAAGTAATTTCCCAAGAATGCTCTTGCAGGAAAACTCTAATGGTTGGAATTGTTTTCGGATTTCACATGATGTTCGGAGTTCATTTTTGATATGACAAATAAACTGTTCATCTGCTTTTATCTGTTGTGGTATAACATTCTCACAGACAAAATCTACTTTCATTTTAAAATCTTTAAGATAAGTCTCTTCCATTAATTTAAAAATAGCCTCCTTATTGTACTGCTCTAAAACTTCTGAGCACCAGTCCATCATATATTTTAATTTATTACAGTTATAATCATTTATTTTCTTTGACTGCTGAACTAAATCCTTGACCCCAGCAGCTACACCAAAAGGAAGTGCTATCAAGCCTGCTCCAACGACAAGAGGAAGCCAAAGAGGGGAGGTAACTGCAAGAACAATTTTCTCATGCTTGGTAAACAGTGGATCATTACTATGATTAGGTGTATTGCTGTAATCATGAAGTCCTTCATCCAGAGGCATACTTATGTCAAGTAAGGTCCTGTTAATCTCTTCACATTGTGCATCAATTAGTTTACACTCTGCTTTAAATAAATTAGACAATTCTTGAGTGATGTCATTGACATTCTCTCTAATACACCAGGCTCTGGTCTCGGTATTTATTCTTTCTATTATCAGCTTCTTTGCTTGGTATTCAATTACTTCAAAATCTGCACCTTTTGGTAATTCTGCTGTCGACCATAAGAACATATTTTTATAAGTTTCCTTACACTTTAGATGCTGATATAACTTGGTGGAAATCTGGTCACAGCGAAATTCAGCCTCTTCTTTTACTCTTTCCTTCACCTTAAAGAAAACATACTAATAATAGTCTAAAAGTAAAAATGTCATCTCTTAATTTCTCATTCTAATATTACACCATTTCTGCAGACAAAAGTGCACTCATTGAAATGTCTCGCCTTCTTTACTGGCCATTGATTTAATGTCGATAGTCCTAAGTATAAAGTTTTACAACAAGTATCACATAAACTTAAAGTGATCCAAGAAAATTATGGCAAGGTCAGATAAACCAAATCAGAAATACATGTACCCCTTTCAATCATTCCATACACCAAATATAGATGACCTATTGCTTATAGTATCTTAGAAACAAACTTAACCAGGAAAACTTAACATTGACCAATGAACCATGAAGATGAGGTCAAGGTTATATGATACCTGCCAGACAGACATATACACCTTACAATTATTCCATACACCAAAAATAGTTGACCTATTACTTATAGTTTAATAAAACAGACCAAAACTCAATAAAATGCTCCGCAGGGCGCAGCTTGATACGACCGCAGAGGTCGAACCCTGAACAGTTGGGGCAAGTATGGACACAACATTCAAGCTTGATACAGCTTTGCATTTGGATTGTGATTAAATATTTGACACAGCATAGGTTTCTGACACAGAATGAATGTGGTCTAAGAACTTAAAAATTTTAAATTGGACATTCACCTATTATGGTCCAATATCCAAAATCTAAATACATGGTTAGATTCAGCATATCAAAGAACCCCAAGAATTCAATTTTTGATGAAATCAAACAAAGTTTAATTTTGGACCCTTTCGACCTCAATGTGGACAAAGTTGATAACGGGGCCCAAAAATCAAAAATCTAAATACATGGTTAGATTCAGCATATCAAAGAACCCCAAGAATTCAATTTTTGATGAAATCAAACAAAGTTTAATTTTGGACCCTTTCGACCTCAATGTGGACAAAGTTGATAACGGGGCCCAAAAATCAAAAATCTAAATACATGGTTAGATTCAGCATATCAAAGAACCCAATATATTCAATTTTTGTTGAAATCAAACAAAGTTTAATTTTGGACCCCGATTTAGACCAACTTGAAAACTGGGCCCATAATCAAAAATCTAAATACATGTTTAGATTCAGCATATCAAAGAACCATAAGAATTCAATTTTTGTTAAAATCAAACTAAGTTTAATTTTGGACCCTTTGGACCTTAATGTAGACCAATTTGAAAACGGAACCAAAAATTAAGAATCTAAATACACGGTTAGATTCGGCATATCAAAGAACCCCAATAATTCAATTTTTGATGAAATTAAACAAAGTTTAATTTTGGACCCTTTGGACCTCAATGTGGACCAATTTAAAAATGGGGCCCAAAATCCAAAAACTAAATACACGGTTAGATTCAGCATATTAAAGAACCCCAAGGATTCAAGAATAAAACCCCATTGAAATTGGTCAAGAAATAAGCAATTTATACGAAGTATCTTCTTTTGCACAATACTGTGCAATTAAATATTTCTTGCTATTGCGCAATACTGTACAATTGACAATTTCTTGCTATTGCGCAATATTGTGCTATTGGATATTTCTTGCTTTTGCGCAACACTGTGCAATTGAAGATTTCTTGCTATTGCGCAATACTGTGCAATTGAAGATTTCTTGCTATTGTGCAATACTGTGCAATTGAAAATTTCTTGCTATTGCACAATACTTATTATATAATAATTTACACATCCTGTTTGGTGTGCATCTCCTACCATATCATTATTATTTGCTTTTAAATATAAATCAGAAATAACCAACTTAATATGGAAAATTTTAAATGAAAAAAAAAAAATGAAAAAAAGAAAAAAAAGGAGAAAAAAAAAATCCCCCCCCCCCCCAATTTTTTGAACCCCCTTATGATTCATCACACCCAAACTCAATCCCAGCCTTCCCTTTGTGGTATGGTACCTTGCAGTACAATTTTAGAGAGATCCATACACTTGAACACAAGTTATTGTCTGGAAACTAGAAAAATGTGTTTCTTGGCCCCTTTTTGGCCCCAAATTCCTAAATGTTTATGGCAATTACCCCCAAACTCAAACCCAGCTTTCCCTTTGTGATATGGAACCTTGTAGTACAATTTCAGAAAGATCCATACACTTGAACACAAGTTATTGTCTGGAAACTAGAAAAATGCTTATTTTTGTCCCCTTTTTGGCCCCCAATTCCTAAACGTTTCGGCAATTACCCCCAAATTCAATTCCAGCTTTCCCTTTGTGATATGGAACCTTGTAGAACAATTTCAGAAAGATCCATACATTTACACACAAGTTATTGTCATGAAACTAGAAAAATGCTTGTTTTTTGCCCCTTTTTTGGCCCCTAATTCCTAAAATTTTGAGGCAATTACCCCCAAAATCAATCTCAGCATTCCTTTTGTGATATGGAACCTTGTGGTACAATGTCAGAGAGAGAGAGATCCATACACTAACACACAAGTTATGTCTGGAGGTTACAAAAATGCTTATTTTTGGCCCCTTTTACCTTTACTGTTGGTACCATAACCCCCAAAATCAATCCCAACCTTCCTTTAGTGGTATTGTACCTTGTGGTAAAATTTCATAGAGATCCATTCACTTAAACTAAAGTTAGAGTGCGAAAACCAATGTGTCTTCGGACGACGCCAGACGACGACGACGACGACGCCAACGTCATACCAATATACGACCACAAAAATTTTTTTGCGGTCGTATAAAAACTGAACATTGAGCAATGAACTGTGAAAATGAGGTCAAGGTAAAATAAAACCTACCAGATTGACATGTACATCATAAAATATTTACATACACCAAATATAGTTGACCTATTTCATATGATTTTAGGAAAACAGACCAAAACACAAAAAATTAACTTTAACCATTGAACCATGAAAATGAGGTCAAGGTCAGATGACACCTGTCAGTTGGACATGTACACCTTACAATCATTCCATACAAGTATCGTAGACCTATTGCTTATAGTATCTGAGATATGGATTTGACCACAAAACTTAACCTTGTTCACTGATCCATAAAATGAGGTTGAGGTCAAGTGAAAATTGTCTGACAGGCATGAGAATCTTGCAAAGTACACACATACTAAATATAGTTATCCTATTACTCATAATAAGAGAGAAATTAACTTTACATAAAATCTTAACTTTTTTTTTCAAGTAGTCACTGAACCATGAAAATGAGGTCGAGGACAATGGACATATGACAAATGGAAGCTTCACAACATAAGGCATCTATATATAAAGTATGAAGCATCCAGGTCTTCTACCTTCTGAAATATTAAGCTTTTAAGTAGTTAGTTAACACCACTGTAGCCCCCACAGTTGCTGCTGCCGGATCACTATCCCTTTGTCTAGCATAATTTCGGCGACAGAAGTCGCAGGCTTGACAAAAAGTCAAGTAAATATTATCATATTTCCCAAATAGTCAGAGAGTAAATGTGGAAAGATTTGAGCCTTTCTTGAAAAACTTGTATTCCTTTTTTAGGATGATGACAGTGAGGTAAGCCACAGAATTTAATATATTTTTTTGGCCATCATATATTTTTACTCATGTCACTAGTAAAAGCAAATAACAAAAGTGCTCTAAAAAATTTTGAATCATGTAATGTGGCATTAAAACAAATTCACAACCAAGGAAACATACTACCACTTGCACAAACTTCTTCCTGGATTTCTAAGGAGAAGGTACATTTTTGGGGCATATTTATCCCTATTAATTCAAAAATCAAAAAAATTATAAATCAAAAAGCTTGACAGCTGTAAGGGGAATAAATAGCTTCGCTGAGCGCAGCTGGATACGACACAGATGTCCAACCCTGAAAAGTTAGGGCCAAAATGGACACAATATTCACGCTTGATACAGGTCAGAACTTTACCCCGTTTTTTTGCATTTGTGCAATACACTATGCTGTTGAATATTAACCCCCCCAAAAAAAATATTTGAAGAAATTTTCTTTTAATTTCTGAAATCTGAAATGAGAAAAATTGTCCCCCTCCAATTTTTTTCACCTCCCCCTTTCCCTTATTCAAACAAAAACAGTTGTGTATAAGTTTTATAACATTTGGTTGAGACAAACTAAATTTAGAGAACGGAAACGAAACATTCAGCAATTTTTATGTTTATAAAGGAACATAACTCAAGAATGGTAAAAGGGTCGCCACCAAATTTTGTACTTAATCTGTATTATGTAGTAATAAGCATTGTGTATAAGTTTCATAACATTTGGTTGAGGCAAACTAAAGTTAAAAAACGGAAACAAACTAATTATCAGTAGGAAGTAAAATTGAATATTGCATTGTATAAAGCATTGGTTGTAGTTGATTCAACTACCATTATGCACAAAGAAAGATAACTCCAATTTTCAAAGAAGACTTTAAAATATTTTTCGAAATGAAGGGTAAAAATTGCTTTAATTTATCAGTGGAAGGCAAAATTAAACATTGCATTGTATAAAGCATTGATTGTAGTTGATTCAACTATAATCATGGACAAAGGGAGATAACTCCAATTTTAAAAATGACTTGATATTTAGAAAAAAAAGAAGAAAAATTTAACAATTTTTCCATTTGTAAAGGGCATAACTCTAGAACAGTAAAAGTGATGGCACCAAAATTCAAACTTGATCTGTATATTGTGGTAATAAGCATTGTGTATAAGTTTCATAACATTTGGTTGAGGCAAACTTAAGTTAGAGAACGGAAACGAAAAATTTAGCAATTTTTCCATTTGTAAAGGAGCATAACTCTAGAACGGTAAAAGTGACGCCACCAAAATTCAAACTTGATCTGTATTTAGTGGTAATAAGCATTGTGTATAAGTTTCATAACATTTGGTTGAGGCAAACTAAAGTTAGAGAACGGAAACCAACTTTGGGAAGTACAGACGGAAAGACAGACGGACGGACGGACAGACGGACAGACAGACAGACAAGGGTAAAACTTAATGCCCCATCCGCTACGGCGGGGACATAAAAAATAATTCTTTCCCTCAAGCTATGGTCAGTATCTCAGACAATCATCATTTCTTAATAAATAATTTACAAGTAGTGTAAGGGAGGTAATCAAACATTGTTATTTAAATTGATTTGGATTACCTCCCTTACACTGCTTTTAAATTGTCTCAATTGTCCTTTAACCAGAAAAACCCTTGTTTTTCCCCTTTTTTTGCCCCTTATTTCCTAAATGGTTTGAGCCATAACCCCCCAAAGTCAATCCTAACCATCCCTTTGTAGTATGGAAACTTGTGGTATAATTTCAGAGAGATTCATACACTTTAACACAAGTTATTGTCTGGAAACTACAAAATTGCTTATTTGGGCCCCTTTTTTGGCCCATTAATTCCTAAACAGTTGGGACCATAACCCCCAAAATCAATCCCAACCTTCCTTTAGTGGTTATAAACCTTGTGTTAAAATTTTATTGGTTTCTATTTACTTATACTTAAGTTATTATCCGGAAACCATCTGTCTTTGGATGACGCTGACGACGAAGACAACGACAACGTAATACCAATATACAAACCAACAAATTTTTTATTTTTGCGGTCGTATAAAAAAGGTACATTAACTGGGTAACTGAGAAATATTGTACACTGAAGACGACCACACCAACCCAAACTTCTTTAAACTAAATAGACCATTGGCAATCATACAACATCTTCTTATTTTTACATTGACCATTGTTTCTTTTGATATAAATTTTCTCCTCCAAAAATAACTTGATTCAAACATATTTTCACCATAACAGGACAATTTACAATTAAAAACCCATAAACTCGAAAATAATAAGTGAATATAGTTAAAATGTATTCTGACCTTAAGACTACATTGTAAAAGTTTGGTGAAGATTGAATTAAGTAAATCACTCAATAAGGCAAAATAAGATTTAATGATATTTGGAAAATTGGTAGTTTTGCAGATTAAAAGTCCAATTTAGTTGAAAATTATCAAAATTTATACCGACCCAAAGACCACAATTCTTAATAAAAAATTTGATATAATACAAATTGTTAAGTCTCTGAGAAATCTTTTCAAAAGACACAAGCTGCTATTTTTCTAAATGGATGCAATTGGGTTACTGTGATGTTAGACCCTCAAACCTATGTTAACAATGCGGCAAAGTTTTGAGTAAAGTAAATGTGTGACATATGAAAAATTGCATACAGCATACAATGAATAAATACATATTTGAAAGAATATTGAATCCACACAATTCTTAAGACACAAGCAAATTCTAAAATTGTATACAGACTGTCCAAACACTATTTTTAATAATTTAGTTCAGCTTGAAGTAAATCAATCAAGACATATCTGAGGTAGCGTGTGTCAAGTTAGGTCCACAGTTGTTCTACCCCCTGGCCCATCAACATTTTTTTAAATGTCTATGGTACAATTGAAATAAAACAATCTTGTATCATTCTAATCTCTTAGTTACATAGACATAGAATATTTTTGAATTAATTGCATTTGGTAAAATCTGAGTGCACTTTATAACCTGCTATAATTGTTCTCATTGTATTTTTTCCTTCAAAACAACAAAACTTAATATGTTCATTATTTCAATGCATTAAGTACTGTCATTTTATGGTTGTTTAAACTATGAAAATCAAAGTACAGGGAATTAACATTTAATTTTGCAAAATCAGAGATAGTGTTGAGGTGGAAGACATCCATTTTGACTGATTTTACACAGTAGCACAGTCATGTCCTATTCTAAGTTGACCATATCTTTAATTCATTATCCTGTGCTTTGAGACTGCTATACACTTTGAACATAAAAGAACCCATACAATTATTTGTTAAGGCCTTATGTGTATTTTTACAATGCAAAGTTTCCTGACCTTCACAGCAACTTTCATTTTTATTGGTCGTTTGCAAAGTGCTGACAGAACCCATTATTTGATGACTTGTTAAATTTTCATCATCCTGAAAATGCATGTAATATTGAACCTGGATGAAAGAAAACATCTATAAGTTACTACTACCAGTTTTAATGTGATATGAAAATATTCATGAGCCAGTCATTGAAATTGTGAGATCATCTGAGTAAATAGTATGTCAGTACTTTGATTTCAGTTATTGATGCCTGTCCCATATTTGGAGATATCAGAAAGTCCTTTTTGTTCTTCAGGAATCAATGAAACAGAACTCAACCATATCAACACCCATAACAACTATTTATCGAAACAGACTGTGTTGTTACTTTGAATAATGAATAATGAATAATTATGTAGTATTTTGTTTTGTATTTGTAAACTCTGTAAATTCAACTTAACACAAATTTTTGTTACCTCTTTGATATTGTAACTCAATTTTTTTATTCGTTCCTCAATGTTCACTTTCAGTTTTTTCTTTTCATCTTCAGTTTTCCTAGATAATTTAATTCTTCCTACAATTCTTTTTAATGCCTTTTCTAAAAACTGTTTCTGCCATCTATAAGGAAGAAAGAGTATAATTTATACATGTACTCATTCTTTGAATAAAAATTCAACAAATCATTTGACATTCAAAACTGGAATTTTTCGTACAAATTTTAACAACAGAATAAAATGATAAGATGAAGAGATGGAAGCATTTAGTCTTTACAAAATATCTACTATCCCTGCACCTTATTTTGATTTGGATGAATGACTTTAATTCCAGACAATGGAAGACCTTTGTTATAGATAACAAATGAAATTATGAACTATACCTAAATGATTCTTATCAAAAGTGGTGATCTGGACAAGATTTCTATGTGCAGACCTTTAACACCTGTGACCTTGACTTTAGATATTCATTTGTACTCATGAAAACCCTTAAGAATGATTAAAGAGTTGTGGCCTAGTATATGTATGAAGGCTTCATCATCAACATCCTTTTTGCAAAAGAGATAGTAATCACTGGAATTTTAAGTTAATTAAAACACAAGTTCTCTCCTTTTGATTTCAATATTGGATTGAACTGTTTGCATGAAGAAATAAATAATTGTCACTAGTATTAGGAAATGATTAGATGATATGTCATTCAAAACTGTATGCACCTTATCATCTTATTGTATTTCATCTACTTGTCTTATATCCAAAGCCTATGTAAAGAGATCAAAAAGCTCTGGAGCAGACATGTTTACTTGCTAAACAATTTGACTTTGAGTTCAAAGGTGAAGGTTATATATTGGTGATGGTGGTATATGACAATAATAATCAAAAGATAACAACTTGCAAATCATAGAAGTCAATATTTAAGGTATTCTGTCAGCCATACTTGTATCCAACATATTATCTTATGGTGATATGCTAACACACTTAATATCATAAGTAAGTCTATGCTAAAAGATAACAATATTCTGGCCAACATAAGCTAACTTGCAAAAAACTATTCATAACTTGATTTAAAGGTCAAATATTAAATATTCAATACAATACTTTGATGATGACTGCTTTACTAATCATGATTGAATTCTACGCCAAAATTTTTATGATCAAGGTTTTACTACACATATAGCATAAACTTAATCCACTAAAATAAGGGCATGGTCAGATGAACTATGCCAAACAGAAATGTACACCTTAGTGCATACCATACCCCAATATAGTTGATCTTTTTCTTATAGTATCAGAAAAATTAGTGTAACCAAAAAATATTTACCAATGAACCATGAAAATAAGGTTATGGTAAGATGAACCATGACAGATGAACATGTGCAACTTACAATCATTCCATACACCACATATATTTGACCTACTGTGTTTTGTAACTGAGAAATGGAATTAAGATATGAAGAATCCATGTCTCCTACCTTCTGAAAAGTACAGCTTTGTGCATAGAGCTAACATAATAACAGGATAAAAATTCAGCATAAACCTATATGGTCTAGATATCAAATCACTGTCAGTTGCACTCGTCTTTGGAAAGCATCAAGTTATAACATTAACAGTACCAACTTTTATGCACCAGATGAGCATTTCAACAATTAATGCCTCTTCAGTGATGCTTGAGGCTGAAATATTTGAAAATCCAAAACCTAATCAAAATATTGGAAGAGCTGATCAAAACAAAAAGGACCTAAAGTATAGCCAAATCCGGACAAGAAATCAGAGCTTTGCATGAGGAAGATATATTCCTTAATTCAAAGTGATTTAAATATTTTCAATCTAACAATATCCATATTTTCATGCCACTACTGGGCTGGTGATACTCTCGGGGACTTACAGTCCACCAGAAGAGGTATAGACCCAAGTGTAGTAATAACATTAATGGTACCAATTTTTATGAACCTGATAATAATTTTTTATCTATAATATCATTGTACCATCTTACCTTGAATGTCTAGCAACTTTGGCCTCTAGACTGGCAGGAATCATTTCTCCTATTCCAATAAGAAGTTTCTGGAAATTGGTAGTATACTCTAATCCTGGAGTAGCTGCTCTTCTTGTCTCCTACCATGGAATAGCATGTTTGATCACTTTTATGTCATCAAATAAATAATTATTAATCCTAATCTTTTCATCACATATTTTCAGATATACAATATACAATATATATCATTTTGAAATCATGCATGAGGTCACACCAATTTGATTTGTGGTTTTTAGGACAAAAGCTCCAAAAAATATTTTTTTGATACAGTTGTTTTCATTATATGGTAATGATTGTTTATTGGCTGCTTGACATCCAGTTGGAACTATTTATCCATATTTAGGATCAACATAATGAGTGAGGTGAATATTTCTTGCTTTGTACTAAAACAACATCCTGACTAAGATAGTTATATTGCTATGCATGTAGATCTCAATGTATTAAAATATTCCCTTAAAATACCTGTCACCACATTCACATGCATTATTCTGACTGAGCAAAATACTCTTTCCTTTTGCTCCTAAAAGCTGCAATGCATTTAAAACTCTTTAGCTTGACTAGAAGTGGTTGAACCAATTACACATCCCTAATTATTATGAGCATGACTATCACAATACCACCACCTTGGTCTCGAATGTTGGAACTCCTAAATTTCTCCTTACAAAAGAGTTCTGCTTGCATGCCAATAGACTAACAAAGGGATATGGGGTTTAATCAAAATAAGATAATTCTGTGATTTTTTAAAAAGTTCATGGCAATTTACAATTAATTTCATCCAAGATAGATAGGTCTATGCCTGTTGAAACAAGAATAGGGGATGACGATGGTTCTAACAAATATTGATGTGATTGTGGTCATCTAATGAAAGATTTTGAATTATTGCCTCCTAGAACAGGTCTTCAAAGGTAAAACGAGATGCATTTTGCATGACTGTGTGTTCAATAACTACTTGTCCACTGAAATGAGTTGACACAACAACATGCTGGCATCCCGATTTTTTATCTTTTATTTACAAATCGATTTATCGCACGTGTGTTTGAATCAATCGGAGAAATATATGCAATAGAAAAATGCTATGTGAAAAAAAAATTCCAAGGAGAAACTAATTTTGGAGCAGCATGCGGACATAAACTTTGCGGAAGCAGTAATTATTTTTTTTTATTGAAAAGTCAATTTCTCCAAAACAGGGGCAGGAAAATCCAAAGAATTAGGAATCAAATTGGTGTGGCCTGAGATATAAACCTGGTTAATCGAATTTTGTCAATCCATACATTTTCAAGGAGCTGCAGATTAACAAACGGTTATAAACAGGAATGACTTTGTCAATGTATTGGTAAGGGAAAATCCCCAAATTAACCTAAGTTTAATGCCAGTTTCTATAATTCATGACTTGTAAGTTTTATTGATGGAATAAGCTGGAGTGCCTGTATTTAAACTACTGACTTTTGGACTACTGAATCTGAAATATTCTAATGAATTCGAAAAGATTAAATGTGCCATGTTTTCAAATGACTGGAGCAAATTTGAACCCCCAACCTATAGGAGATAAGCTGGAGTGATCTGGTAAGGTTAGTGTCCAAGTAGACCACTTGAAGTATGCTATATCGACCAATTACAACCTACTGTAAGAAAGGAATTTAAGGATTTCACACATGTCTACCTCAGAATAGAATATTGGTATTGTAAATTTCTGTGTGTGCATCAACAATGTTTATATAACTAAAGCTAAACATGCCATCAACCTAGGTTCTTACAGATATTGATTCTAAAAGAAACCACTTCTCCTTTGAAAACATGAACTGAAAATGTACTGCTCCGTACAAAACTTACCTCTTTAGAACTGAGTTTAAACATCTGAGCTTCTTTGAAGTGCGGCCAATTATCTTTCAGTTTTGATTTTGTATTTTTCCAAACTTTATCATCCTCCTCGGGAGGAACTTGATCCCATTTATTACAAACAAATATAGCTCTAGTTGGATCAAACTCATACATCTTACTATCCTTCTTTTGTACCTCAAATATCTTCAAAAGCTGTAAAAAATATATATTTCTAATTTATGTTGATAATTGATGTAACAGTATATTTTTAAATATCATATAATGACATCCTAACCTGTTACTTTGAACGAAACATTTTTTCATTAACTTATCAAATAAACCTTAATTTGGAGGTATTTCAAATAAATAATTCATTGTTGACATTAAGCCCGTGAACAAAACAAGAGTGAATGTTTCCACATTTTTTTAACTTTTATCTTACCCTGTCACACCTCCAGCATTAATACTGTTTATCACATATATATAGCTTACCCTGTCACTCTGAACACCTCCAGCATTACTACTGTTTATCATTTTAATAAGCACTTACCCTGTCACTCTGAACACCTCCAGCATCACTTCTGTTTATAACATATATAAAGGCTTACCTGTCACTCTAAAGACATCCAGCATTACTACTGTTTATAACATAGATAAAGACTTACCCTGTCACTCTGCACCTCTAGCATTACTTCTGTTTATAACATAAACAAGCATTCTGAGAGTATTGCATGGCAATACATAGTCCCCTACTGGGTAAAAATTCATTTTACTGGAACAAAATGCTAACTTGTTCTATAACTTGTCATGGTGTAAACAAAAAGTAAATATCATGTCAATATCTTCAAGCATGACTAAAAACAGTGTGGAAAACTGATTATATGAGTGAAAAAAACATTAGATATGATTAATAGTTCTCTAAAATTAGATATGATATAATACGGTGTATATCTATTTTCAAATTATAATCAAATATAATTAATAGTTCCAAGTATTTTTTCTTTCATTTGTCACAAACTAATATAGATTTGTAACTTATCTATAAAATGTCAACAACATTTATCTACACAATGTAATGTATTGAAATATATACATTAATAAAAATAGATTATTATCTAATTAAAGGATTTCTCTTCATAACTTTTTTTTTATATATATAGCATTCAGAAAATTAGTTTATACTAAATAACAAACAAACCTGCCAAAAAATTCTTCAAATAATTTAACAAAGAATGTCTTTTAAAAAATGAGTCCCTTTGTACAGAAATATGGTTTAACATAGTACTCTAACATTAGATATGGTCCAGAGTTATGATGGTCTATAACTCTGGACTAAATCATCAGACCGGAACAAAATTTGAACTTGATCTATAACTTGTCACGATAAAACTATATACCAAATATCAAATCAATATCTTCAAGAACGAAGAAAAAAAGTGTGGAAAGCTGATTTGCCTGACTGACAGATGGACAGACGGACAGATGAACAGACGGACAGATGAACAGACGGACAGACGGACAGAGTGCAAACCTAAAGTCCCCTTCGACTTCGTCGGAAGGGGACTAATAAAGACTTCCCCTGTTACTCTAAACACATCCAGCATTACTTCTGTTTATAACATAGATAAAGACTTACCCTGTCACTCGGAACACCTCCAGCATTACTTCTGTTTATAACATAGATAAAGACTTACCCTGTCACTCTGAACACCTCCAGCGTTACTACTGTTTATCACATAAATAAAGACTTACCTTGTCACTTTGAACACCTTCTACATTACTACTGTTTATCACTTAAATAAACACTTACCCTGTCACTCTGGACACCTCCATCATTACTTCTGTTTATAACATAAATAAAGACTTCCCCTGTTACTCTAAACACATCCAGCATTACAACTGTTTATAACATAAATAAAGACTTACCCTGTCACTCTGAACACCTCCAGCGTTACTACTGTTTATCACTTAAATAAACACTTACCCTATCACTCTGAACACCTCCAGCGTTACTACTGTTTATCACTTAAATAAACACTTACCCTGTCACTCTGAACACCTCCAGCATTACTACTGTTTATAACATAAATAAAGACTTACCCTGTCACTCTGAACACCTCCAGCGTTACTACTGTTTATCACTTAAATAAACACTTACCCTATCACTCTGAACACCTCCTGCGTTACTACTGTTTATCACATAAATAAAGGCTATAGCTTTTGGTAGATAGTCCAGTAATCGCACGGTAAGCTCTTCACTTGATCCTATTCCTGGAGTATCTACTATAATGGCATGGCTCTGAAATTGACAAAATTTTACTCATTACAGTTTAATTTTATGCTATATGAAATAATTAACACAATTTAACCAGATAAACCTTGTAGTAAATGAATAAATTTTCAGCTGATTGGAAAACCCAATATCACTGTCTACTGACTTGCTTTGTAGTACATAAAATTTAATGCCATATAGTCAAACATTTTTCATTCTGTACTTTTAAAATAAAACTGTCAACACCGAATAAATAAAAAGCAAGTTGACAGATGTATGCTGCATTTTTATTGGCAAGGATAACACTATTTTAACATGTAAGATGTGCCAAAGTTAAAACAACTGCGTAGCAAATATCTTTAGGGGCCTTATAACAAATAATTGTTGCATGTCTGAAGCTGATGCCGGACACAACACACCTAAGCAGAATGGTTCATAAAAAGAACATAATTATACTATAGTGCCTACAGGTAATAAAATTTTGTGAGGTACGGTAGACAAAAGCATTTATAAATAATCAAATGGTCCACATAATTTGGTCACTAGTGGACAATTGTCCTCATTCACAATCATACCACATCTCCCTTACTTTTATATTGTGATATTAAAAATATGTAAATAAGTTACATTTGATTTACTAGTTATTTTCATTCAGGTTGAATTGAACTGAAAAAACCTTAAGGCCCCAAGGAGCTAGTATTGCTCAACTGGTATCTCTGTACAATATTGAATAATGTCTACCGTAAAATGTTTAACAAGAGAAGATAACGTCTGACAAATTCACTTCAGATTGTTTTGTTTTAATCATTTACCTGAAGTTTCAGTGCATTTCATCATTAATTTCACAGAGGATTTTTTTATATGGACAATTAGAATCAAAGATTGCCTCAGATGGCAAAAAGCTCAAACAAGAAAATGAAAAGTTATTTTGCATTTGGTTTTAAAGGGACCTACCTGCCACATGTCACTTCTGTTAGACACCAGCAAAAAAAGGAATGTAATTTGTCTTCCAATCATCTATCCCCTTTTTCAAAACATTTTGCCATGTAATTTCAGTTGAGAAGATTATTTTAAATTGGTCAATAAGACTTAAGATTGCTTCTTTCAGCCTTGATTTTCATCTGATCAAAATGAAATGAAACCACCATTGTATGAATCTTTCCATACATTATTCTGTCCAGGGTTGGTTCAAAATTGACATGCAGTTTCAGGCAAAAAGTTGATAAAGTAATTTTCCATTGGGTTTATATGGAACTGTGTGCCAGTAATGCTGCTCTGTTTGCCAACTGATCAACACTTAATAAGGATAGTTTGTAAAGGGTCTTCCATTCAACAAGTCCCTGAAGTATCCAACCATTTTGTATTGTACTTTCTAGGGGGAAATCCCTCAATCAGACCTTTACTTACCAATTTTATCATTTAAGGGTGGTCTAAAAAAAAATTTTGGGCTCTTTCTTTTAAGAAGTTAACAAAGCCTATTATCAATTCTGATTGATAAAAAATATAAATGTCTCCTTTGAAACAAAAATCTATAAAATTTTACAAGGATCGATGATTGAGAGATTATACACAGAACATAAGATTTTCATCAGTGGATGGTAATACAGTCACATACATGGCATCAATGATGAGAACAGTCCATGTTGTATTTGAACAATATCATGGACACCTATCCCACTAAATTATACTTAAGTGTGTCAAAAAAAAACCAGGTTGTTGCGACTTCTGATATGATGAGGAGTTACCAAATATTTGACACTTCACAAGGGAAGTCATCTATTATGCAATTGTTTAAGTGTAAGAATGTCATTTAACCCTTTGAATATTTATTTCTTTCAGATGTTATCACAACTGAGTTGCATATTGAGTATTTTTTTACCAAGAATGTTTATCCGGTGAATTATTATGCAAATCTGTACAGACATCTCATTCTACTTGTCAAACTGACAATTTTTGGTCCAATATTTTTACATTTCATGATTACTGTGAACAATTTTAAGATATAAATCAATTCCAGACAGCATCATAATTATAATAGATTATCATTACTGCCACATCATATTTGTGACCGCCTATTCCTATTCCTGACATAAATCAATTCCAGACAGCTACATAATTATAATAGATTATCATTACCGCCACATCATATTTGTGACCTCCTATTCCTATTCCTGACATTTGAAAAGTTTTAGAGGCAAATGAATATTTAGATTCACCAATAAGAATCAAACATTATCTTTACCAGTTATGTTTTTGCCTGTTAAAAACAAAAAGGCATTCAACAAATTAGTTCCAGCAGGTTTGGATCTGATTATATATGCACTTTCAAAGAAAAAGATGAAAAAGAGATTTGAGGAACATGCAGCCTTCACGCTTAACTTTTGAGTCCACAAGCCAGAAGCTCAATTTAAAAAAAAATTTAGTTGGATTCTGTTGGCTTGTAGAGAAGAATTTTACAAGTCCGAAAGCAATTTTACAAGCCAATGCCGTAGGACTTGTGGTTAAGCGTGAAGACTGACATGTATGACATCATGCAGTCATGCTTGCCATCCAATCATTATAAAATAATGTTTCAAAAGACGTAATTTCAGAATATAATAAACTGTTGACACAGAGATATGTCTCGCCTGTCAACATAAAATTCAGGAAAAGAAAATCTGATGAACAGCAACATTGCTTATTAATTCAAAGTGTTAGACCATGATCTAGTGGGCAGGGCCTCAAAATGGTTGACAAACTGAGATGTTCAAACAGTAATGTAACTTTATAGAAATACTGTTGTCTATTGTAAGTAGTTCCTATCAATCTAACAAAAGCAGAAAACTTAACATTGTAAATTGGTAATTATTTCAGTCACTGGACCATGTCCTGATAGTAATGCAGCAACTTCATACAAAATATCATTGATCTATCACAAGTAGATACTATCAAACTAACTTAAGGATGTGTTCTTCTGATGTTTCAGTCTCGTTGAAATCTTGTTCGAGAATTATTTCCAAAACATGTGATACAAGTGGAAAATATTAATGAATTCAAAAAATATTACAATCAAACTAAACTCTGTGAAAAAATTGTGTACTTACAATAAGTAGTTTTTGAGTAATAAAATTTTCAAAATTTAAAACCAATCCATGCAGTCAGTGTCATCAGCTAAAATGTTGAGAAAATGGGTAATGGTACAAGAAATGATTTTACCAAAAATATGTACATCCCATATAATTTTTTCTTTTCAAAATTCTTAGATATGTATTTTTCAATCATTTATAACAAAGAAGTTGAAATAATATACTTTTTGTTCTAAAAAAAAAAGAGAAAATCCCAAATTTACAAAATTTACAGCATGGTCAAATTTGACACCAAAAAGCAACAAAATTTTATAAAACTTTCTAATATAAACACCAACCTATAGTTTTTTTAAGTTAAATTTATTCAGATTGGTCCACTTCATATTTAGTGAAAGTATGAAAAGTTTAATTATGGAACTGTGATTCTTTTCATGATAATAGCCCAAAAATGGATAAAAATTGATGAAAAATGAGAAAATCATTAAAAATGGGGTACTTTCAAATGGCCGTAGCAATAAAAGATGTGCACCACCATGTAATTTTTTCTTCATAAATTACTTTCTTACAGTCATATAAACCCAAAAATCAGGTTAAGAAAAAAAGTTTAAATCTATAAATGTTTGGCTCCTCAGAGGTGTACATTCTTTAGCAGAAAATTTAACACTGAAAATTGCTAATCAATTCAAAGTCAATGGACCATGTCCTAGAGGGTAGAGCCTCAAAATAGTTGTCAAACTGCTATGTACTGATAGTAATACGACTTCATACAAAATATCATTGATCTATCACAAGTAGTTCCTATCAAAATAACTTAAGCAGAAAACTTAACATTGAAAATTGCAAATTAGTTCAAAGTCGCTGGACCATGATCTAGGGAGCAAGGCCTCAAAATAGTCATCAATCTGATATGTACTGGTAGTAATGCAACTTAATCTGGATAATAAAATTCAATTCCTGCCTCTAGTAGTCATGTTTTTCACCAAATTCTATCAAAACAAGTGAATCTGTGAGCTACTGCTCACTAATGATACCCCTGCCCCGCTAAAAGTATAAGGTTAACAGGGAGTTGTTGAGTGATGAATCTGAAAACGCATCGCACGGTCAAGCTGACTCATATAAACCCTGAAACCAAATTTCAGAAATCCTTGTAATGTAGTTCCTGAGAAAGATCCGACAAAAAATATTCATGGGACGGACGGACTGTCAGACCGACGGATGGACTGACGGATGGACAGACAGAGGTAATACAGTATACCCTCACTTTTTTAAAGCGGGGGTATAATTAAGAATCTATATGAAGGACCAACATACAGTATTTGTCTACATTGGGTCATTAGTTTTAGAGCAGAAGATTAATATGTGAAACATTAACAGATACCAAGTGATTGCAATTGCTCACACTAGCTTATTGGCCAGCTGAGCTTGTTATACAGAAACAAGAATACTAAAGGCATATTACCAATAAGGCATACCTTCAGAATAGGTATTGGCCAATGTATGTCTACAAATTTATATTTATTCTGGTTTGCATCACTGACATATTTTTGCAATTTTTCTTTCATCAATGCAGCTTCCATGTCTTTAGGTAAATGAAGTCTTGTTAGTTCATCATCTTTATCAGTTACAAAGACAGCCTTTTCTTCCTTATTCCATAGTCTACAGATTGTGGTAGTACAGGTCAGCAAGGAATGGGGTAACACATCACTTCCAAGTAACAGGTTCAGTAAGCTACTTTTTCCAGCAGTTGTCTCACCTTACAAACAAATAAAATGGAAACAGAGTACCATACTGGCAGATAAAACTTGTTTACCGAACTATAAATTAAAGGCTTATCTATCAGTAAACATATTCTGAGGAAAGAGAAAATTTCTTTCAGGAAGTTTATAAACCTACTATCAAATTCAACAACCATCTACAACTTTTATTTCTGCTAGAGATATCCAAGCTTTAAATAATGAGATTGACTGAAGTTGAGATCATTGATAACCACTCTGTCAAATAGTTCAACTCGTCTCATCATGGTATAGAAGCACTGAGTACTGAAATTAAAGGTCTGTTTGAAGCTAAAATCAAAGATCAGTGGATGACCTAACTATTTTATAAAATTTCATAATTACATTGATCTTCATAACACTCATAGTTGATATTAAATATAGAATAACTATACATTGTCTCAAAATATAAAATTCATTTTTACAAGGCTTAGAAATAGGAAGAATGTGAGGCTCTGCCGAGCATTTATATCCTGTTTCGAGGGGGCTACAAATAAAATTTATACTGCGACTTTTCCAAATTGCCGTATGAAATATTTTGGGTAAAATCAAACAATTTTGAATTTGAAGTGGACAACATAAAAATTCCTCGAACCTGTATTCTTCATTGACGTCAAAACTAAAACTCTATGGAAACATACTATCAACATCACAAACAAGGCATTATACGGTCAGTGACTGTATATCACAAACAGGGCATTATACGGTCAGGGACTATATCACAAACAAGGCATTATACGGTCAGTGACTGTATATCACAAACAGGTATACGGTCAACAAAAAATTGTCTGCCCAAACAGCACAGTTGCAGTATAAATAATTTACTGTAAGTATCAAGATGAATATGTGCAAAAATTATCATAATCAAAAGTTTAATTGTAAAATGGATATACCTGCCACAACAATTGGACACTGCTCCTCCATTAACTCTTCTTTATAGGTCTTGATTTCTTCTAAAACATCACCAAATTCTATTTTCATTTCTTGTTTTAATTTACTGTCAACCTGGTCATCAGTCATAAACTTTTCAAGGTTACAATAAAGGTCATACAGTTTCCTTTTCCTCTCCATGTCTTTTTCTAAAATTTTCTCAATTATTTTTGCTCCTTGTTGCTAAGAATAACAAAAAAAAGAGATAATTTAATCTGTATTTGTTGTGAATTTGTCTATGTGTGTCTCACACTCTATAGAATGCCCCCAATTTGTGTTGATATAAAACAAATATATTCCTGTTTTGCTAGAATAAATATAGATTCTACCACTGCATCGAGTGTGATACGATATTTATCCACTTGAGACAGTTGAATTTTCAAATTTAAAACTTAAGGCTCGCCGAGCTTTTTAAATATTTAAGATTTAACTGTCGAGAGTGGATAAATATCGTATTGCACAAGATTTGGTGGTGGAATCTGTTTCTCTAATGAGCTTTAGACGATATGCAGACAATCTGAATCCTTCTTTTGCAAAGACTTGCAAAAAGATGTGTTCTTGGTTCGCCTTTTTTCATGACGTCACAATAGGAATTTCAGAGGAAAGCAAGAAAATTTGACGTCATAATCGAAATTTTGACCAATGAAGAACTGAGATCAAACGAACCATATGTTGATAAAATAAAAATAATCAACAGGTCAGGAAAGGGATAAATCGAGTAAGAATTAGAGAAATAAAAATATCATTCACATCAATAAAATAAAATATTAAGTGTATAATGTCATTTTTTAATGAAGATTTCATCAAAGTATTAATAAAATTCAGTCAATGATTTACGAGGAAATGCAGATATAAGACAACTGTTCATTATTATACATAAGACAAAGCCAATGTTAAATCATATCAATCAAAAGTAAAAAAGAATGTTCACCAATGTCATTCTGTACTAAAAACTTTCAAAAAGATTCAATGATTTCAGTTGAATGATTGATCTTTGCTATTTAAAGTCCAGTAGAAAATGTTTCATATATTTTAATGACAAGAACTAAAACCAACAGCTTGATTCATGATAAAAGAATAAACAAAAAACAAATAAAACACATAGCAACCAACGACAACCACTGAATACAGGCTTAGGACTGTCACATGAAGAATGTGATGGGGATAAACAAGTGTGTAAGCACTCAACCTTTCCCTTAACCTAAGAGTTCTTTAATGCTTAGAGAGTTTAGTGTTTTCCTTACATAGGACATTATATTAAATGCTCCCATTTCAACCAGATGTGGGTTTGCATTTAAACATCCCAAACAGCCAAACAAACAACCCCTCAGCAAAGAAAGTGAAACCAATTTCTATACCCTGTGGTACCCTCAATGGTCCCTGGTTTGCAAATTTGCAAAAGTTTGCAAAATTGCAAATACAAAGATGGGATAAACAATAAACATCACAGTGGTCTTGGTTAAGGAGCTGCAAATACAAAGATTGTATTAACAATAAACACTCTCAGTGGTTTTGGTTACGGAGCTGCAAATTCAAAGATGGGATAAACAATAAACACTCTCAGTGGTCTTTGGTTTAGGAGTTGTAAGTACAAAGATGGAATAAACAAGAAACACCCTCAGTGGTTATTGGTTTAGGAGTTGCAAATACAAAGATGGGATAAACATTAAACACTCTCAGTGGTCTTGGTTAAGGAGTCTAAAATATAAAGATTGGATAAACAATAAACACTCTCAGTGGTCTTGGTTAAGGAGTCTAAAATACAAAGATGGGATAAACAATAAACACTCTCAGTGGTTTTGGTTAAGGAGTTGCAAATACAAAGATGGGATAAACATTAAACACTCTCAGTGGTCTTGGTTAAGGAGTCTAAAATACAAAGATTGGATAAACAATAAACACTCTCAGTGGTCTTGGTTAAGGAGTCTAAAATACAAAGATGGGATAAACAATAAACACTCTCAGTGGTCTTGGTTAAGGAGTCTAAAATACAAAGATGGGATAAACAATAAACACTCTCAGTGATTTTGGTTAAGGAGTTGCAAATACAAAGATGGGATAAACATTAAACACTCTCAGTGGTCTTGGTTAAGGAGTCTAAAATACAAAGATTGGATAAACAATAAACACTCTCAGTGGTCTTGGTTAAGGAGTCTAAAATACAAAGATGGGATAAACATAAACACTCTCAGTGGTCATTGTTTTAGGAGCTGCAAATACAAAGATGGGATCAACAATAAACACTCTCAGTGGTTTTGGTTAAGGAGCTGCAAATACAAAGATGGGATAAACAATAAACACTCTCAGTGGTCATTGTTTTAGGAGTTGCAAATACAAAGATGGGATAAACAATAAACACTCTCAGTGGTTTTGGTTAAGGAGTCGAAAATACAAAGATGGGATAAACAATAAACACTCTCAGTGGTCTTGGTTAAGGAGTCTAAAATGCAAAGATTGGATAAACAATAAACACTTATGTTAGTCATTTGTTGTATGTCAAATCTTTTTTGTTCATTTTCTGAATTTATGGATGTATTATGATATTTCTGAGGAATCAGCTGGTCTTTCTTGTAAGTAACTTATTTCTGATAGAGTCAGTATCAAATTTACTCAATGCTGAAGACAATGAGAAATTAATTTTGGAAAATTGGGCTGTGGCTTTGCATGATTTTTTCCATATTTTATTTGAAATATTCTCATAAGCATCTACCCTACCCCTTATTGGCTTTAACCGTTTTTTATTCCCCTGCTGCGGTGGAGGGAGCATTAAGTGTTACCCTTGTCGTCCGTAAAGTATGTCCTAAAATTAGTTTCCGTTCTCTAACTTTAGTTTGCCTCAACCAAATGTTATGAAACTGATACACAAAACACAGATCAAGTTTGAATTTGGGTTGCATCGCTTTTACCATTATTGAGTTATGCCCTTTATAAATGGAAAAATTGCTGAATTTTTGGTTTCCATTCTCTAACTTCAGTCTGCCCCCATCACATACACAATGCTTATTACCACAAAACACAGATCAATTTTGAATTTGGGTTGTGTCACTTTTACCGTTCTAGAGTTATGCCCCTTTATATATGGAAAAATTGCTGAATTTTTCTTTTCTGTTCTCTTACTTTAGTTTGCCTCAGCCAAATCTTAATTAAACTTATACACAATGCTTATTACCACAAATTTCAGATCAAGTTTCGAATTTGGGTGGCATCACTTTTACGTTCTCTAGTTATGTCCCTTATAACGCTGTGCAAGGGGAGGCATCATCTGTGTCCCATGGACGCAGTCTCCATTTATCTTACATAAAGCTAGTTTCACAAAACGTTGTACTAAAAGACAATACATACTGAGGCATCAGTTGAGAATGTCATTGTTGTGCTATCTAATTTCTCAGTTGGTTGCTTTCCTTTCTTCATCAATGTACACACCAATTCTCTCATCTCTTTCTCTGTTTCCAAGTTATCATAGTTTATAGTGTTGTTCTCTAATATCTCACTTAATTCAATGATACCAAGGCTTTCCACTTCCTCTTCTGTATAACTGCATTGGAATGCAGAACTAAAGAAATGGATGAGTGCATACATATTAACCATTTAATAAATGTTGAACTGCATAAGACTATAAAATTATTTAACTTTGTTAATATAGCTTACTACAATGTATACACAAAAAATCGCATAAAAATAAACCTATCAAATAATTAAGTTTCTATAATTTTTTTATACAGTATCATAAATACAGAAAACCTAAATTGTCAGTTTTAGATGAAGGGACAGAAATTTTTGGTGAATATTCTTTGTCGAAAAAACTTGTTATTGTTACTGAGACATGTAAACAAAATTTTTCATAAAATTCACAAAAACATTTGTTCAATAAACTTCACTTTTGATAATTACCCTTCTCGATTCTCTTGCATTCTGAATTTGTTTTCTCTCTACAACTGTGGCTTTTGATAAAATATCATTGTTGCATTTCTTGTAACAATTAAATCTGCAACAGGAAAATAACAACATTTATCAATATCAAGCTTTATAAACAGCCGTCTAAATCTTAACAATTGCTTCGTATTAATCACTTTTGTAATTGTATTTGTTTTATAATGTTCCAACAGTTAAAAGTAATGTACAAATTAATATCTATATGAAACAAGAAATGATTGTAACAGGATGCTGTTACGAAGTCTCCCAAACGAAGCTCCCATAATTCGAAATTCCCAGTGTCGCCTGACATTGGAAAAAGTCCAGTGAAAATTGGTTCGGTCCAGTAAAGTATATGCATTAGTGATGCCTGGGGACTAACCCTGTATATGATTCAAATCATCTTGGCATGACAAACCAGAATATATATGGTTTAGGGGTGGGGATCTCGACCATTTAAAAGATACTAGAACATTGGGGGTGGGGGGAACCCCTGGGGACTGACCCTATACATCATTCAAATGTTCGAGACACGACGAACAAGAATATATAGGGTTAAGGGGTGGGGATCTCGACCATTTACAAGATATTAGAACATTGGGGGTGGGGGGAACCCCTGGGGACTGACCGTATACGTCATTCAAATGTTCGAGACATGATGAACAGGAATATATATGGTTTAGGGGTGGGGATCTCGACCATTTACAAGATATTAGAACTTTCTCAAATAGCAGGGGGTCAGGATGACCCCTGGGGACTAACCCTGTATATCATTCAAACCATCTTGGTATGACAAACCAGAATATATATGGTTTAGGGGTGGGGATCTTGACCACTTACAAGATATTAGAACTTTCTTAAATAGCAGGGGTGGGGGTGACCCCTGGGGACTAAACCTGTATATCATTAAAACCATCTTCGCATGACAAACCCGAATATATATGGTTTAGGGGTGGGGATCTTGACCATTCACAAGATATTAGAACTTTCTTAAATGGCAGGGGGTGGGGGTGACCCCTGGGGACTAACCCTGTATATCATTCAAACCATCTTTGCATGACAAAGAAGAAAAGAAAGGAGGGTTTTACTATAGTAAAACCCTCCTTTCTTTTTGATGTGCTTTATCATGACAAACCAGAATATATATGGTTTAGGGGTGGGGATCTCGACCATTTACAAGATATTAAAACTTTCTCAAATGGCAGGGGGTGGGGATGACCCCTGGGGACTAACCCTGTATATCATTCAAACCATCTTAGCATGACAAACCAGAATATATATGGTTTAGGGGTGGGGATCTCAACCATTTAAAAGATATTATAACTTTCATAAATGGCAGTGGGTGGGGGTGACCCCTGTGGACTAACCCTGTATTTCATTTAATGTGCTTTATCATTTAGAACATTTTCAATTAAAAAGATTGTGTCTATCACAAACGGTTTTCAATTTATAATCATTTGAAAATTTAAAAAAAATAAAATCCCATAGGGTTCTATAGTAAAACCCTCCTTTCTTTTTGCCCCTCAAAGTACCCCTTTATAAACCCCAATGCACAAACAAAACCCTGATTGCACCACTAGACATGTAAGTCTAGCATATTGTGAAACCCTAAGTTAATCTGACAAGCGGTTTTGGAGAACAGGTGCGGACAAGTTCAAATTTAAATGTGGCGGAAGAGGAAGAAGAAGAAGAAGAAGAAGAAGAACTGAGCAAAACCAATAAGTCTTCCCAAACTTCGTTTGGGATACTTAATAAGGAGATGTAGTACAATCGCCAATGAGACTTTTATCCACCAGAGACCAAATCGATCCACCAGCACCCAAATCTGTTAATTTGCCTTAAATGTTAGTAAAAGTAACAATTAAACTGATTCAACACTGAAAACAGGGACTACCTGATCTAAGTTGATATTGACTAATTTTATGTAAAATTACTTCTCTTACTGAGGAGATTGTTGCTACTCATATCAATACAAACCTTCTTAGATGACAATCATGCCCAAATGTCTGGTTTAGTTCATTATGTACAAGTTTCTGTTATTCCTCTGTCTGTTTGCACCAAATAAGCATTGGTTTACTCTGCTAAAAATATGTTTGAAGCATATGAGCAAAAACTATAATAACAAAAGAAGATGTTTTAAAGTGTTTTTCCTTTACCCTCTCCCCCTATATTTAAACTTATCTTACCTCCTATACATATCTAGGAATATAATTGGTTAAATGCGACCGTGTGGGGACTGTGTATATTTCATATGGGGTTAGTAGGCGGGGGTTTATTTTAATACACGGTTAGTAGTGGTGTTACGTCCCTTTATAAAAAACAACACGGAGTTGAAGAAAAATCTGAAACATTTCACCCAGACAACAGATGAAGAAATTGATGATGAACGATTGAAATAAATGCAGAAAACAAGTTAAAAGCTAACAAGTTGTTATTGTTGGCATTCGTTTTTGTATAGACCAATGGAAGTAGTTTCTTTACATTGAAGACTTGGTCACTTTGATAGGCCACTGGTGTAAATGCCACATGTTAAGATAGTCGGTAAGATAAATTCGTTACAGTGTGTTAGTGACCTAATACGATATATATGGGATCAGTAAATTCCATATGGGGTTCGAGCTTCACTTCGCTCTCACCACATATGGAATTTACTGACCCCATATATATCGTATTAGGTCACTAGCACACTATGTAACTAATAATATGTGTCTAAAGATGTGTGTTTTGATAGCGATACATACAATAAAAATGAAAAAATCAGGATATTAAAAAAATACTTGTTGGAACAATAAACAAACAGCTGAAATTTATTTGATACGGTCCACTCTGTTACATTGTTTAATCACCTATTGTTGTGCAGATATCTATTGTCAATGACAATCAATAGAATACAATACAATGACTTCATGAGGAAAACATTAGAAACATTTTTCACAACTTAGTTTATTTTGACACCATCTGCAGTAATGACAAAAAATGCAAATCAAAATCAAGGAAATTTTTTGTTATTAATTTTCCGAAACATAAAATGCATTTAAATATTATATATATCTAAGACCAGACTTCCTTTAAAACTTTAACATTGCACAGAGAATAATTTTTGAGGTGGAAACACAGCCAATTTTCATAATACCTTAGTAAGAAAGATAAATTTATTTTAATGTGGCATAGTGACAAACATCTAAAACATAAACTCTGAAGAGCTTTTCATTGAATATAAAAACATATACATGTACACTTACAAATAAAACAACATTAAAGCATGCAAATTAATAACTATAAAACAGCTGACACTAAAAGCAATTATAAAGCACTAAGATAATCCATAAATGAAAGTCAGAAGATACCAAAGTGATAGTCAAACTCATAAGTCGAAAATGAACTGACAATGCCATGGCAATTGACAAAAAAACAAACAAGACTACAAAACACAACATAGAAAACTGAGCAACACAAACCCCTCTTACCAGGGGGGTTCTCAGGGGCACCAGATGAATAAGCAGATCCTGATCCACATTTGTGCTCATGTAAGGTCAAACCAAGCGATCGATTAAGTCTAATTGGATATGTCACATTTGAGGAAAAGAGAATGGAGTGTGGATATGACTTTTGGAACATATCTGTTTTCATCTGTCCCCCAACTTTGACTTACTTAGAGCGGAGCGTGAATCTAAAGGAAGTCTGTCTCATATGAATAAAGGAACAAGTTGGCAAGAAAAGGAGTTGGTTAAATAAAGTATAATATGATTAGTTTTGATTTAATAGCTTAACATCTAATATCAAAGTAAATGAAATAAGTAATTTGTTATAAATAATAAGAATATATAATACGAGTTTGTTACTCTGGACAGCACACCTCTATGTATTATCCTTATTAACATGATTAAATAAATGTAAATGCATATATGATCATACTGTAGATATGTAACAGTGGTTTGATTCCGCCAGTGTACTTTATCCGGAGGAAGAAAATCACCAGTGATTTTTATCCACCAACAAAAATTCACTAGGTTTTTCTATCCGGGTCCAGTGTAAAACATCCACCAGTCATTATATGGTTTTAAAAAGAATTTTTTTGAAGGGAAAATATATATTAAATGTGGCTTAGTAGTTTTTAGTGTATTTGAAACTTGCATAGTTGATTTATGTAAAAAGTGGAGAGTTTTCATCCAAGGAATGTTCACACTAGTGTTTTTGTACCGGAATGATTGCACTAGTTATCTTATACCGGGATTAATTACACTAGTGCTTTAGATCCATACATTGATGAAGTGATTAATACTCAGTTTAAACACACGATAACACAATAATGCTTATTAACAAATAAGATTTAACACGATAATTTTTCTATGCAAATTTATAAAATCATATGCTTTTAAATTGTCACTAATTGTAATATTCATATTTATTGGATTGCCGAAGTTTTTCTGTGTATTTGCTTTTCGGTCGACTTAGATATAAAATCATATCTTCTATGTCGATATCAAAGGATGCTTCTATAATTGAAACTTTAAGTAAGAACAAATCTGCTCTTTAAATTTGTTTTATATCAAGTTCAATGTCCTGATCATTGATAAAGTATTTTGAGTTATAAAAATATCCTCCTCATCATCATCAATATTATTTACTGGATTGACTCTGGTTAATTAAACTGGTTCCTTGAAAATCATTCTATTTTAACCCATTTATTTATGTAAACAATAAACCGGTCTAATATAAACAAAACAACGATATCAAGATCAACGCTTTCACACTATTTACATCCAATATTCTCTAGGGAAAAACAGTTACCCGGAATAAATACACGGCGGAATGAAAGTACGCTTACATAGAAACATTAATTTTCGTGGGGTAAAAATTTCGTGGTTTTGTCTCTATATAAGAATTCATGGGGATTTAATTTCGTGGTTTGCAGTAAATGGAAGTGTTATTATACGTAGGTTAAATTTTCGTGGGGGTTTTAATTTCGTGGATATATTCTTTCCACGAAATAAACGAAACTAAATCCTCCACGAAAATTTCTGCTTTTACAGTATATATATATCTATAAAAATAAAAAGTATTATTATTATTGTAACTCTATACAAAGATAATCTAATTTAATATTTTATTTCTGTTTTCATTTAAAACCTCTAATAATTGACAAATTATTGTCAAAATGTCTTTATCTTCATTTCCAAATAACCTTGAATAAAAAGAGATTTGTTCTGAAGTTTTGAAATATTCTTATTTTTACTAAATATTTTGCTTATTTAAGAAAAGGATTTCTAACATTAACCAAAGCTTTACATGTTACAAAAATGCATCTTATCTTCTATTTCCTCATTACAGAATTTGTATATTCTATTTCCTAGTTTAATATTAAAGTAATGACCTTTTTGTATTTCAAGTTTGAAGATATGGTAATTTCAATAAGTATATGGCTTAAAATTAATGTTTGGTTTGAATAATCGATAAGTTCTTTGTTTATTTCCAGATTTGTTATTTTGTCTTTTATCATTTAAAATAACTCTTTCTTCCATGAGGGTAGGTGTGCCCTTTAATGTCAGGTGTCAAACCGTCATTTTAGGCTACCGTTAGCGTCAAATTGGTTAAAATTTTACTGTGATTCGTCAAAATATCCTTCTTGTGATTCGTCAGAGGTCTCAAATAATTACCGTTTCCGTTCTTTTGGGGAAAATATTAACGTGATTCGTCAAAATCAGTCGATTTTTTTATCGTGTTAAAGAATGTGTACATTATTGCGTCATGCACCAAAAAAATAGCGTTAACGTCATTTGGCAAGATTTTTTACCGTTATTCGTCAAGAAGGTACCCCCATTACAACCCTCTTCCATATGCTCAATATTTGGAATATTATTTCATTTTCACCACATTTTTAACAGTTTAATGTTTGTTTTAGACAGGTACTTTCTATACTATGATTGCCTCCAAATCCCCATTTTCCATTAAATGCAATGAAACAATAAATAAGATAACTTAGAATGAGGTATCACTTTGGTATATTTACAAAATTTCACCTCTCTTTTATTCAGTATGTTTTCTGTTTTGATATATTAATATCCATTTTGTAATCGCACTTTGAAAATTTACCATTTAATACACATGCCTACAGAAAAGGTCATAAAACTTAAGGAATGGAACAAGAAACGAAAAAGCTCTATCATGAATCTTATGTAAATCATGTACCAATACGATTTATTGTCATACTTGTATGGAATTTTTGTAATGTCTTAGAAAATTCTGCAAAATTCTGTTTACTGTTATCACATGCAGGTTATTTCCAACTTTCACTTTAACCGGAAGTAAATTATTATGGAACAATTCGCACCGTCAACAACTGGACCCGAAACAATCCGGATCGACAAGGACCGTATCGTACTAAGTTCAGCACGACGTGTACAATCTATTCTGCTACAGCTCAGTCAATCTTGAAAACGTTGCATTGACTGGTCAGTTCAATAAAATATGGCAGCATCAAGGTTTTTTTCTCAATCGAGACCAGCTGTATATTAAATAGTTCCAGAAAATAAACGCATTCAATAATGAATCCGGTTCCTTTATACCTGGAAGAAGATACAGATTGCACAAGTTTTTCTATTTCAAACTAAATATTTAATAAATCTTTTCGTTTTCAGATCATTATCAAAAGTATAGCAGTTTTGTAACTGAAGCGTAATCGGTGTCATGGTCTAAATTGTATAGTATGATTGCTAATTCCAGTTTACTTTAAATAGAAAAAAAGCTAAATAGAAGCAAGGATTTGTATACAAATCCTTGATAGAAGTTATTGTATATGGCGTATATGATCGTATATATATATATGAACGAACGAGATCAACGGATCTATTAATTTATTTATCAAATGAAATTTTGAAAAACTCGGATTATATATGATATACAGTATAAAAATATACATGTGCAAATCCTGGTTTAACCAATAAATCGTTTTCGAGTGCATTTTGTTTTACTTTAGGAAAGTTGTCTATTTACAGGTTTCAAATCATCAAAAGAAAAATTAGGTTGTTTTCGTAAATTGAAATAAACAGCTGCGCCACGAGCGCATGATACGCCCGTCGTCTTGTGTGTGAGGTTTTATGCAATAATCATAAATCGTTTCTGAGATACGGCGCGACATGTGAAAACCCCCCTTTTTTATATAAAAAAATCAATAACTCTTAAATAAAATTTTGAATCATCACCAAAAAGTATACAGATCTTTAGATTAATATAATTAAGAAGTGTGTAAAGTTTTAAGCAATAATCATAAATCGTTTTTGAGATACGCCACGACATGTAAACCCCCCACCCGTTTTAGTTACAAAGTCCCGTAACTCAAAAAGTTTTAATCTTATTTTCACCATAAACTATACAGATCGTTTGACCATCATAAGAAACAACTATGTTAAGTTTCATGAAATTTGGATAAGTCGTTCTCAAGTTACGGTGCGACATGTGGACGCCGGAAAGACGGACAGACAGACAGACGGACGCCGGACATTTGTAAACCATAATACGTCCCGTCAAAATTTTGACGGGCGTATAAAAAGAATAATGACTGGCAAACCATTGTAGAGCCGACTCGAGATGGTCCAAAGACTAGCAGCTTGTTATGTATCTAACAAACATCAGGCCTCAATGCGGTGACTTTAAAATGAAGAACAGCAATTAAAGCGCTGTTCCTTTGCTTTTTGTGTGATTTTTGCTGTGCATAACTGATTTTGTGTCATGGAGAATACCCCATATCATTTGTTTTTCTATTACACCCATCATCATGACAGTGGTTGCAAAGCTACATGTCAATTTCAACTTTATTTTGAATTAGGATTACACAATCGTGATTATGTAGCAGCCCCTTTTGTTGCTTATACAACATTGCACAGTACAAATAAAAGGGTCTCCTTATACTTTAGGGGTCTATGTACGTCATGGTTAGTGTTCATCATGGTAAGGTTTAACTGAGGTGCGTTTTCACCATACGTTTTCAATAAGATTTTCCACCCGTTTTAATGACGTATCCCAGGTAAATAGAAAGGCGGTTCACACGATTTGAGCTCAAGTTCATACGATTTTCAAACAATTTTGGCAGGTGCTATAGCAATGAACGTGAGGGGAATTTTCAAATCGAATGAATAACTATTATGAATGAAAATTGGATCTTTCATCTATTTAACCAGATTGACTTCAATATGCTCTTTAAAATAGCAACGATAGTCAAGATGAATTACCTGATTTTAGAACAATTAGTTAAATTAAATATTTAAAATTAAATTGTCTATTTTTAAGATTCAAAGGTCAATAAAACACCTATATATTCCCTAGAAATGATACATTTTTCTCGAGCTATTCTTATTTTCCACTAAATATAATTTAATCCCAGGATATATATATTGTCTAGATTTGTTCTCTCAAGAAGAAATTTTCGTTCCTTTAAATAACTATGTCGTTCCTAGTAAATAGTATAAATTTTCCTTAATCCAAATGTTATTTCGTTTCCTAGAAATATTTCCTGCTACTGCGCGTTTCATTCGTTAGTTTACAATCTGCTTCTTGTTGTTTGAATCCAGTCGGTCACCGATCATTGAACTGTTAGCGACCTGTGCTCACCTGTCCAGGAGTCCGTTTATCAATCGGCGCGCTACGTTTGCGCGAATTTGTCAAACGATTGCGCGAAAAAAAAATCCACGATTGCGAGTCAAAACGCATTACGTTTACGCGAACGTCTAATAAACTCAAAAACATGCATGTTTAAAGAAATTTAATTTCAACTCCTGAATAAGTAGAAAACTACCCGAGAGTAATAGTTCTATATTTAACGGATATAAAAATAAGGAGATATGGTATGGTTGCCAATGAGACAATTATCCACTAGGGTTAAAATGAAGTGGATGTAAGCAATAGGCAACCGTACGGCCTTCAACAATGTGAAAACCCATACCGTATACTGAGTCGGCTACAAAAGGCTATATATATAGTATAGTCATTTAGGAGCAAGCTACAGTATAAGATTTCTAAGAGTTTATTCCGTATGACTTAATATAATATGTAAGTCTATGAAAAGGACCAACCAGCAAATTTAATATGTACCGTACCGTCTAGAATAGACCTCGAGCTCGGACCGCTGTCTTAACCGTCGCGTGGACTGCCTCGTTAGCTTCGTCCGGCGACTAACAGCCAACTTAGAACTGGTACGGACCAGCGGCTCTTTTCACAAAAAATCTTAAGAGTAAAAATACTCGTAAGTCATACACATTTCAGTATAACTTACGATCAATTTTAATCGTAAGATTTTTTTGTGAAAAGAGTCGCAGGGGAATCCGACTGTCTAATTGGATACTGCGCAGATAAGGAAAAAAATATAAAAGTCTAAAGATTTGCGCAATAAAATTTAAATTTGATGTGACGGCATGGTAAGTAGCAATATCATCCTTTACGACAGATAAAATAGCTGATCTGAAAGGTACACCATCTGCTTGCCACTATACATCATATATTGTGTTACAACCCTACATAAAGCCGACGAGGAAAGGCATTACTCAACCAGCGACATCAGTAATTTAATACAGCCTAGGTGGTCGAGTGGTCTAGGGCGCTGGACACGGTGCAGGCGGTGTTGCCACGATGTCACAGAAGCAAGGGGGCAAATAAGGAAATAACAAAAATTTGCTAACGCAAATTTGAAGACCTAACATTGTTGGGCTAAATTTGAGACGAATTACACATAGATCAAGGTAACGACATATTATATCAAAATCCGAATTACTATGCTGTCAGAAGTCAACAAGAGAGTTGGAAAGAAATGACTTTGAAGTTATACATAACAGCCTTAATTTGGTTTATTTGTACATAGTATATAGTTCAACATGTTACCTTATTATACGATTTGGGATGACTTCGGAATTGTATGCTAGTTTCATTGGCGCAAATGAAGTGGTCCAAAAGTATTATTGGCGCAAAGGAATACGTTTTGGCCCAAATGAATATTGGTCCGATAAACTTGAAAAGCTTAAAAAACGATACATGTTCACTATTTTGTAGTGTATCAACTGCAGATGAAGAAAAATGCAGTGTGAATCTGTTTTTCATATAAAGACATTTAAAAAAATTCAAACTTGAGTCCTAGATATCATCTTGAACCATTGAAATATATTTTCAATCACGAGTTTAAGATTAAACATGTAAGGAAACTATTAGCATTATCAGTATTTTTATTATATGGAAACAGGTATAATCAATGATTAAGAAAACCTTCTAAAAACTTGCAAAAACAAAGATATTAAACCATTATTTCCTAGTATTGTCATTCTTCATGTCCAACAAACAAACAAGAGATGGTCATGACTCACATTAATAAAACATTGAAATGAAGTTTGAACCCAAAAATTATAACAAGACATGTAGATATGACATCTGAATCAAGTGTTAGACACTTCTGCTGAATAATCAGATACTGATTTAGAGTATTCATCATTGCATGTTTGAAATACAGCATTGCTCAAATCTTGTATACTTTTTTTATGCCCCTCACCCATCTGAAGTATTGAAAATTTGAATACACCCTTTTTTGCATTCACCATAATTTTCAAAACCCCTTAACTGTATCCCCCATTAAGATTACAAATGACCAGTCCCTAATTCGGAATTATTTAAAATATTCTTTTTCATCACAGGCACTTGGGTCATGGAACCATTTTTTTTGTTCGGTCACGGCGGAGACATATATGTGTATATACTAGTATGTCTCTGGTCACGGTTGGGGATTTTTTAGTAGATTTTCTTTAATATTTCAACATTTTTTAATTTGTACTTGCTCTTGTTCATACGATCTTACAATACTAGTAGTCCATTTATTCTATTTTTTCGCGTGCAGTTAGTGGAATTCAACGGGATCAATCAATACACCTCGCACGAACTCGACTAATAACACCAAAACTTATGTAGACCTCTTGTTTTGTTTTTTTTTGTATTACAAGCATTCACAAGATAGAGATTTGAAACGTGTCCGTGTCAAAGGTGCGCATGACAGCGAACAGATTTGTTATGAGAAAAGAAACAGACTAGCTACCTATAGCTAAACAGTCACTCTAGTGATGTTTAAAAATCTGAAAAAGAAACTTGAACAAGGGGTTGCACAAACACCCTTAAAGGGAGCCCTCAGTGCTGTGACAAAGGTATTTTTTCATCTGCACATTATCTGCAGCATCCGGTTCCATCAGAAATCATGAAATTGTCTCCCTTGAAAATATATACATTGATTGTACCTTTTTAATCACACTAATCATCCCAATTGTTTCAGGAGATATTTTTGTCCTAATAAGTGCACACACCAATTAATTCTTTTCATTGTTCTGTTTTGATTTTTGTTGCTTTTTCTTGAGTATATTTTGTCATTATGTTCCCTCAAAGGGGGGGGGGGGGGGGGGGGGGCTTTGATTTTTTACAGTTTGTTCTTGCTCTGTGTTGTAAGACCACTGTCAAAGGTTAAAGCAGGTTGGGGACATTCATCCAAACGGGTTATAATATACGGTATGAATATGGGTCTGATAAAAAAACTTCTATCCCATTTGGGCTATGATATTTCAAATGGGTAATTGGGTGATTGTGACATCCCCAACCTGTTGGTACGCTCTTTACACAGTAGAGCAGAAGGTAGAGGGCTCACAACCCTGTCACATCAGTATCCAGACAGAAGTATGTCACTGTGACCAACATTTCCAACTTCAAGGAAGTCTGCATTTAAAGAATGATGTTCAATCACACACATTGTGTATATTTGTCACAAAATTATTTGATAAACTATGAAATTGAATATATAGTATACATTATTCAATGTCCTTTTAACAGTTGCACTAATACTGCAATATTTGAATTAAGAGTGGTGCAGAAGAATATTATACACTTATTTACTTGCTATGAGAACAATAGCAAGTTTATAATCCCACGAGATACCAACTATTTTCAGACATTTTTTAGTGTTTCCCCTATCACACAAAAAGGGCATGGTAACTTAATTGAAAAAGGGCATCTAGAGCGCGCTAAAATTTATAAAAAGGGCACCTACAGTGTATGGAAAATTAACAAAAGGGCACCTACAGTACAGGTAGAGACTTATTTTTATGGATGCCTTAATCCGTCTAGATGTCCGACTGGTCTGACAGTTGTCTGAGTGTAATTAACACCTGCTGTGATATTACCTGTGCAATATCAGTGGAAGGTCGTAAATATGTCCCAGCTTGATTAGAATTAAATTTTACCTGTACATATATTTTATTTTTTATAGAGGATAGATACATGTTAAATATTGAATAAAACTTTAATAAACTATTGAAAATTTAATCAGAGATCAACTTTTACATGTATGTGAAGTTGTTATACAAATGAAAAAAAGACGATTTTTAACAATGTATTGCTAATCGTAAATATTTCATATTATTCAACATAACAACAACCAGGACGATTTTCAATTGAAGTTTTCATAAAAATGTTGAGCCATCAATCACAAATAAAAACTGATCCCGTATTATAGTTTTAATAGTTTATTGTATCTGATTTTATGCCCTTTATGGGCCCTGTAATTTGGGAAATAAAAATATTCTATTCTATTCTATTCTGTAGTATGTCTAAAGTTTGTAAACAAATTAAACTATTATTTTCCATTCGACATTAGTTCACCGCTGGTGCCTTTACATCTATTCATCAATGTTCATACCTGTCAATCATTACACGCAAGTTTTGGTCAGCCAGATCACGAGTGCTTACTATTTAAACATATTTCCCGTCAATCTTTAAAACAATTACTTTTTTTTATTACAATATTTATAAAGCCGTGAACATGTTTCGGATCCTAGTATTTATAAAAAAGTTTCAATAGCTGATTGTAGTATTCTAAAGTTTATAAACAAACAAATTAATTAAACTATCATTTTCATTCGACATTACGTTCCCTGCTGGAGCCTCCACATCTATTTATCAATGTTCATACCTGTCAATCATTACTCGCAAGTTAAACATTTTGGTCAGCCAGATCACCCGTGATTACTATTTAAACATATTTCCGTCAATCTTTTAAACAATTATTTTTTTTATTACAATATCTTAAAGCCGTGAACATGTTTCGGATCCTAGTATTTATAAACAAAATAAACAAACTTTTATAGGATTTTCCAGTATTATATTAGAAATTTTGTAAAATTTATAAATTTACATATACATGTAATGGAATTAAAAAATTTGCTGACACGTGAATCGTGTTTTTATAAACAATTTTTACGAATTGTGCCAATCAATACACGAATGTTTTCAGTTTTGATGGTTATTTGTTGGAATTCAAATTAATCATGATTTGCCGATTTAAAAAAAAAAATGATTTAAATTATTCATTAAAACTAAAATAACTCGTAAAATTTAAGAGAAACGGAAGCGGGGGAGGGGTATTCAATCAAAATATTTGGTGCTAAATTTCTTGCTGATGGGTATTTCCGAACTTAACCTAAAAAGAGGTGTCCGAATAAAGATCGTGGTTATGAGAATTAATTAAAAAAATTGGTACTTGATACTTATTAAACAACAATTGTTAGACTCTTTTCGTACAATATAAGTAGCCCTTAAAAGGACTGTTTTGAATTGATGTAACCTTGCATTCATCTTCAATTCAGCTTCATGCTCACGACTTTCAGTTGGTACTCTGGTGTCTTCAGCTTATCATCAAAATACTTGAGAGACTTGCCACTGGATCTCTCTGGGAAAATCTTCTTGGGTAGATCTCCTGTAGCTCGCCCGTCTACTAGAACTGCTCTCAGCAGTACTTTGTAGATATGGTCGATGAAATTGTTACAAATATTTATGGTCACATCTTCTCTCCAAACAGACTTGATACCATTGATGAGATCTTCTTTTGTCCTTGGTTCTTTTTTGGACAATCTAGACTTCATCATGCTCCACACCATCTCGATTGGATTAAAATCGGGACTCTCTGCTGGCCAAACATCCCACCAGTTAATATTCGGCTGCTTCATGAAGTCTTTTGTTGCATTTGCAGTGTGCTTAGGATCATTATCTTGTTGAAATCGATGAGTGTCAGGGTAAACTCGGTTGATGAATGGTATTAGGCCTGTCGCTAGTATAGAGTTAATATAGAATGCTGATGTCATGATGTTTTCAAATATCTGAATACTCATGGTCCCCCGACGACTTTTACCAGCCCAAACGTGTACCTTCAGTGGGTGCTTAGGTTTAGGTAGAACTGGAGCAACGGAGTCTTTTTCTCGGTAGATGATAACCTTGTTATCGTGCAGTTGCACGGAACATTCGTCAGTGAAGATTATATTGTCGAAGTTATCGTTGTCGTCAATGACGGCCTTAGAAAACAGAACCCGTTTTAACTTGTTTGGTTCTCGAACCATCTGTCCATATCTAGGTGAAGAAGCTGTATAACCGGCTGCTTTGATGACTTTTTTGACAGTTGATTTGTTTGTGTGTGTACCCTTGTCTGCTAAAAGACGCTGAATATCGGTAGACGTTTGAGTAGGTTTATTTGCTAGTGCATTCTTTACAAAGTTGACATCATGATCAGTGATATATTTGAAAGTTGGTAGTTTTTCTGCTTCCTTGCTCAAATTTTCGTAGCCTATCTTGCCGCTTTGGTATCTTTTGATGACATGTTTAACGGTACCACAGGTAACATCTATGCCTCGGGCAGCTAATTTATTTACAATGGCATGAACTGGCCAGCTCTGTCTATACAAAGCGATGATTTCTAGGTTGTCGTGATGTGTAAGCTTAAACTTCGGCATGGTATGTGAAGATATCGAACTATGCTGATAAGTTAAATATACAAATGCTATTTAAATGCATCCCCTAACATGGCATGTGTATTGCACGGGAAATTGACCAGGAGTCGACTTGTCTAGGTAACACCTGTAGACCATCATCTGATCAAATTAATACACATGTCAAATCAATCGTGAGAAAGAAAGTTGGAAATGCAAATCGTGTGTTACTGACACTAGCCCCATAAGGCTTTTGTAAAAGAACATTTCATATTGATTAAAGATGCATAAAAAACGGATACACAACAAAACTAAATATACTTTAAATAAAATAATTAACTAATGATTGGATGTAGATATTTTACTCATAAATCTATATTGTTTTCACTCTTAATTGTACATATTAATTTCAGATAATTAAGATATTAATTACCTATCATCTTAACTTAAAAGGCTTCAATTAATCCGATTTCGTTAAAATATTTCTTAATTGAATGATTACATTTTAAACCTGAAGACAAGTATTTATCTTTAAAAATTGTTTAGCATATTTGTTAGTATAGATTAAAAACATGAAGTATTAGATTAGATAAAGATACTTTCTATGTATAACTTATAAATTGAATAAAATGATAAATGAGGGTGTTTACGGGGTTTACAGATTAGATAATAATGCTGAAAATAAGAAAGGCAATAAATTGTCATATTGCATTGGTATAGTATGGACTGGCAGTTGTTGATGGAATTAGAACTCAAGATAGCAAGTGTATTGTTTCAAAATAATATAGTATATGCATCTTTAAATAAAGATGAAAATCAACATTATTCCGGGTAACAGCAAGAGACCAAGGATGTATGTATATTACTAGCTATACATCTTTGTCAGACTTTGAAGGACTAATGCATAAATTTACTAGGTAGTAATTACATGATTTGACTGATGTGGCACTTAAATATGAAGATTAGGATATAAGATCTGAAAATCTAGTTCAAAATTTCACTTCAATTAGTTTCAGGGGACAGTTCTGATCAACAAAAGTTGGGCCCCTTTTTTTAAACCAGGATTCACAGTATAAATGAACTTGTAGAACTTTGTAAGACTATTACACTGCATAATCATTATCCTTATAAAACGTTTAGATCGATATTTGGAATTCATTTCTATAAAGTTGGAACCAAGTATTTGTACAAATTCTTATTATAACGATTCTAATAACTGTAAATTGTAAATTAATCGAGAATTGATCACGTTTACGTTCAATTTACAATGAAATGAAAACAGGAAGTGACAAGTAGATAATAAATTCAGAATGAATCCGGATTCATCTACGGATTGGTTCGTTCCTAAAAAAGGCAGTAAATTATCATTTTTTTTTAATATGATTTACTTAGTAAGAACTATA